TTTTTTTTTTTTAAAGTATTACTTTATTTCCTCTTCCTCTTGTGGGGGTTGGGGTGAGGATGGCAGGTGAGGGAGAATGGAAGGGTAGGATGCGTTCTTGCTATGTATCTTATACTGGCTTCAAACTAGGTAGCCAGCCCAGTCTGGCCTCAAACTTGTGATAGTCCTGCCTCAGTTTCCCTGGTGCTAGGATTATAGGTATCACCATGCACTTCTCCTTTCCTTTTTTCCCCCTTTTTTATGGAATTAAAAAAATCAAGCTATTGACCCTGAATTTATAGTTCATTCACACATGCTGTTAAGATATTTTAAATTGCCTTGAATATTACTGTTTATGTGTACAGTGTTTTTCATGTTGCCATTAGCTTTATTGCTACTTCTACAATTACTATCTCCCACTAATGTTTCTCCTATTTTGTTATTAAATGAATATGGAAATTAGAAGAGGAGAATAAGCAAATTCGGGCTTCTTTCTAAGACAAGAATGGAGGGAGTATTTAAAAATAGTTATATAATTATGATTTGCTTGCTCTTTGAAGCCCTTTATTCACCTTCCCATAGAAATGTGTCTGAGGAGCAAATTATCTTTTGAATATGTTTGAGTAAAAGAAAGGAAATACCCACCCAGCTCCCTCTTCTGGCTGGAATGTGGTCCTGGGAGGCTCAGCTCACAGGGATGGTGTGGGTTTGAGGAACGCACCTCTAGGTGGTGAAGAAGAAGAGAAGGGTCATTATGACAGTGGAGATACCTGGCTGTTCTCTTGATATGTCATAGCTTACTCACTCTGAACAGCAACTCTTTGAGGTAGTTACTATTACCAATTCCTCTTAAAGATGCAGAGGGAAAGCCAAGTGACTTGTTCAAGGACAAACGGTAAATGAGTGGTGGTACTCAGGGTTTATACTCTATGGGGTCTCTAAGTACCTACACTCATTGTCTCTACTGTATTCTTCTCTCTTTCCTTTGTTGCTTCTCATGTTTAAGGTGTTCTAAAGCCATATGCAAATGTGACTAGTCCCAGTATTTTGTGATTATATTTTGCTTTAGTTTGTTTTTAAAGTGACGATCTCACTGTGTAGCCCAGACTGACCACAAATTTGAGGTCTTGCCTCAGCCTTCTTAGTACTGGGACTAGAGGTATGCCACACCACATATAGATGCTTAAATATTTAAGGGACTTTGGTGTGGGAATTACTTTAGGTCTATAGCAAATGAACATGGTATGAAGTTAGGATATAGCATGCAAATGTAACTACTGAGAAATTCAGGTTATGGTGTATAGTCTTGAGACAAGTATCTATTTTTATTTATATGTATTTAATAGTATCTTTAGCCTGTGAAAGGATGTAGACTTGAGTTATAGATTAGAAATAATTTGGGGGAAAAAATCACCAATTCCTATAACTTCCTTACAAATCTACTTTTGTTGAAGAAAACAGTGTCTTGCCATACCACTATGATGTAACAGGTTGAGAAATTTGTTTACAATTCAGATTGTGATTGAATCAATAGAAGAATATGATTGGGAAAAAACAAGAAGTTAGTTATGAATGTGCAGACTTCCCATCCACCCTCTAAGACTTGGAGGGATGGCTGCATACTACATTTTTGAAAGGTTTGACTCTAAGAAAAATGCCTTACTATGTATCTTAAGACTTATGAAAAGACCTTTGACCAAAATACAGAGATATATCCTGAAGTGCTGATTTCTGTGTAACCAAAAATAGAATTATTCCAACTTAAATAATACATTTAGGATTGAAAAAAGATGTTATTCCACAGAATGAGACAGACGGTTCTGCATGCTCTTCCCTGGGTTCATTCAGAAAGCTACTGCACCTGAGTGAAGAGTGATTTAGGCTGAAGGAAAGACTAGACTGAGAGCCTTGAAGGGAAGTCAGCTCCCTCCTGAGGCTGGCAGCAAAGCAGGTGTTCTGCTGTCTTTCTCCTTCCAAATGGAGGTTTCTTAGAGTTTCAAAGCCAGTGGCTCCATACAGTAACTGTCCACTCTACTAAACTCTCTCTGTGGTAGAATAATCCTCTGAGTAGAAACTTGATTCATTTTTTGGATTTTGTTTTTTGTTGGTGTTGTTGTTGGTGTTTTTTTTTCTTTTGTTTTGTTTTTCCCTGTTTGTTTGTTTTTTTTTTTAATTATTTTTGGGGAATCAGTTTGTAGGGCAATTCATTTCTTCCAAGGCAAAGACCATTTTTAATAACAAGAAAACTTTCCAGGAACAAAATTGCCTGGAAACTTTGAGGATATCTGGAAGTACTCACAACTGGGCTAAACAGACCTTGAGTTGCCATGACTACTGACCCTCTTGTCCCACCTACCCATGTCCTAGCCAGGCTTTGGTCACATGACTACTTCATCAGCAGAAACAAAGACAAGTGAGGGGAACCAGGCCAATTAATTCTTTACAACAAGGTTTTATTTACTTTTCCTTGACCCCCCCAACAATAAAGTTGTTCATCTTTCTTTTATTTTTTTTTTAATGGTTTTCCTTTTGGATCCAAACGAGCATTTATATTACAGGATATCCACCTGATCAACATGCACTGCTGAACTCCATCGTTAGGTGAGATGCACCGCTTCTCTGGGTGGGCCAGCTTTGACCGCCATCCAATCACCACTACTGCAGGAGTGTTAGGCTGGCACACCCCAGGGGATGCTGCCTTTAAGGGGACATCTCATGAGTTTGACTCACATATGTTGGAGAATGTGGGTGGCAGCACTTTTTACAACCTGAGGCAGAGCACCCAATTTCCCTCCTGATCCCATTCTACATGTTCATCTTCTAAGATCAAATTAAGGCCTATCCTTGGGTCCCAAAGGACAGAGGGGATGACCTAGACACCCTGTCATCCCCTTCTCACGACGGTGGCCTTGGAGGTCAGTACCAGTGTACCTTGCCATTTGAAATCTACTCCTGATAAAGCACCTCCTGTCCCAGACACGGCCTCTTTCCCCTTCCTATGGCACACATGCCACTAGGAAAGGTAATGTACCCTCTCCAATATTGACACTACTATATGAGTTACTGAAGTCGTGGATTGTCTTTGGGCTGATTTTTCCCTCATCTGTCCAGTCTGGAAGGGATGTTCAAGAATCCACTAATCCTGAGGATTCAAGTCAATTTATCAAAAGCAACCCCTCTGAATCCAGTATCATTTGAAAGAGTTTACCCCAAATCTAAGTAAAAAGTAGGATCCAAAGTCAAACATCTTTAAACCTGTCCTCTTCTGGGACTCTTTTCTATCTTCCATATCAACTTTGTCTTTGTTCCATAGCGTGTCTCTTTGTACCCACTCATCCCAGGTATGAAATGTCAAACATACTTGGTGCATTGAGTGTTTCTGCTCTGCTGGTTTTTCTGGGTGAATTCCAAATCTTGGACTCAGTGTGAGTGGACTTGGACTGCCTTTGAAAGTCACTAAGAGGGAAGTTCCTCTGCAATTGCAGCACTTAGGGTGGCTTTGTAGAAATTTTGGATTGTTCACAAAACACCAGGATAGAAAAACACTGACTAAAGTTCACCCTGCAGGCTAAGTGTATGCCCCTAATGCAGCCATTAAAACACAATGCCTATGTTTTCACTAAACCCGCTGGGATCTGCTTAATGGTCTATAACTTCATATCAAATGTAACTAAGACCAGAACTACTGTGTTCTTTAATTGGCAGTTAGATTACATTATTTAGCCCTCATTTCATATTACCGTTATTTTAAAAATTGATTAATGGCACTTGGACACATTAAAGTGTTTTCCTTGCTCATCTCATAAATATCCTTGATAGACTTGCTTTAAGCATTAGTCCTCGGGCAATATAGGCCATTGCCCATAAGAAATCAGAACACCGAAAAGAAAACAACTGAGTCAGCAAATCAGGTCCAAGTCAGACATAGCAGGAGTGTCTCTGTCTTAGTTTGGGGGACATCATCTGAGGGAACCAAAGAGGACGCGGTGGAACTATCTGGCCCAAGTTCAAATGTTTTCTTCACAGAATATAGAGAGCAACCTATTCTTTTTTTCTGGAAAACTTACCGGAAAAAAAAGAGAGAGAGAGATAAGATTCACTGAGATTTCTAATCCAGGCTAGGAAGATGCCTGGGCGAAGGTGTTAGTTTGTGGTTGTGTGCTCTCTGGCTTGGGTGTCCACAAAGAGAAGACAACACTAGGAAGTTTATCGAAGGAAAACTCATCTTTCCTGATTAATGAAAACAGCTTGGATTTCAAAAAAACTGAGCACTAACACGAAAAGGAAATAGGAAAAATAGGAGTCAAGAGTAAAGCAAATCTTAGTCTCAGTCCCATTAAGATGGAGGTTCCCTTAAAAAGATTAAATGCTGATAGGAAATGCCAGGAATTTCCCAAGTCCTTGGTGGGATATGATGAGTGAAGGGTTTTCCAAATTGACTTGAGAAGACATAAGTGCTTTATGCATTATTAACTTACAAGCACTTGACACACACACGAACTAGCCAAGTATCAGAATTTCAATTTTCCTAACAAGGGAAAGAAAATAGATGCAATATCCTAGCTGAAGGCACAAATGAGTTGTGAAGCCTGGGTGGAACTTAATATACTTAGCTTCCTATGATCTTCATTTATCAAATTGCTATATTGTTTTAAAATTATCATCTTATCGAGGAATACATTTTGTATTTATTGGTTAAAGATGTTCTGAAAAAAATCTATCATTCATATAATTTCCTTGACTTTGACTGATTTGGTGGGGAAGGCAGTTTTTTCATAAATGTAGATTATGTTTTCAGACCTTTGAAAGAGGAGAGGCAGAATATGTAGAGACAAGAGTCCAAGGCCACTTAACAAGACAGAGGGGTGGGGCCAGGAATAGAGATTGGAGAGGAGAGACGGTAACTTCAGATTTTTGACTCAATTATCATAGCATTAATTTGACAGAAATTAATCATAGAAAAGCAGATTCAGAACACTGTAGAACACAGATTTATCCTTCTTTGCTGTCCTAGAGTGGGCCTGTTACAAAATATGTGGACAATCATCAAACAAAAACTACCAAACAAATAAAAATAAGCATTAATCTCAATATTTCATTCCACTTCATCTACCCAACTTTTTAAAACTCCGTAAACAAGAACTTGAAGTTCAAGAATGTATTTACATAGTAATAGCATGGCTTATTACCAAGTCTCTTTTTGCATCTAAAAGGTCAGAACACTAACCCTCCAATACCTAACATGATAGGAGTGTGTGGGTATAAAGGAACCTATTAAAAATAGAAGCGGGGGTAGACCTTACCAGAAACCCTATTAGGCTTTGCTGGGAGCCCCCATTAAATGAGGTGACTTGAACTATGCTCGGAGATGCTTTCTAGGCCCTTGGGATAGGTTGGAACAATTTATGAATGCGTTATTCTTGGTGTGGTGTGAACTCTCTGGGAGACACACGGTATAATAGACCAAATCAATTATGGGGGAAAACACACACATAAAAAGATGGAAGCCAGAAAGCAAGTAGAATTTTTTTTCAGACCTTTTCCCCCATGCAGTACAACTATGTACTATGGGTGCAGCCTGTGACAGGTGACAAAACAAACAAACAAAAACACCAGCAGTCTTTGGCCAGTGGAAAAGGCATCAGTTGCTGCTCTGTTTGGGGCAGAACTGGCAATGGTGTTCTGGCTGGTTCAGAGAGGAAAAACTGCAGAAGACTACTGGTGCAGACATGGGACTTTCTAACGTGGGGCTGCCTTTGATCACAGTCATGGAAAAGTTAGGTCACACGCCTAAGTTAATTTTACTTGGCTTCTATTAAAAGAAGGCTCTCTATGTAGGGATATTTAAAGAGCAGTCATCTGTACTGTATTCCTTAGGGGTTCTCATCTGGTGTGAATCCATCATGCTGTGACTGGCCACTTTCAAGGGGCCACCTGCCCCTCTCTTCTTCCATGCTGCCTCAAAGTATTCCCCTGCTCCTCCTGGACAGCATGCAATGCTCTGGGGGCCAGGAGGGAAGGCCACATAGGCTGGCTAGGACAGAGAATCTTCCCTGAGGAATGGGCTGCTTTGCTTCACTAACCTCTGGCATTGGGGGCTGGTATTTCAAACCATAATAGGCGAGACACTGTTGTAATAAAAATGCTGTGAAAGTTCTTTCAAGGCTCAGAAAATTTCCACACACCAGGGGACAGTCAGATTCCCTTCCACTGCCCACCTTTCCTTTTTACATAGAACTCTAACTTGAGCTGAGAAACCAAGTCCCCAACTTCTCCCTGCTCCACCCACCTAAATACTCTATCCAAAATGTAATGAGATGTAATGAAAATGTGAGAGTCCTTGACTATTTCGGGTCTTCTATGCCAAAGAGATCAAATTTCTCTCTAGTGAGCTTTCCTTAAGTGCATGGACGTTGTGTGCACACTTCATGCTTCCTTTGAAATGGTCTGGTGAGGATCATCTGGTGAGGATTTCTAAGCTTTGCTTCATTAGGAGCATTCCCTAAAAGCATGGCAGAGACAGTAACTTCATTACATAAGCTTGGATTTAACCATCTCAGGATGTGTTAACATGCAGGAAAAAAAAAAGAAAGAATGGGATGGGGTTACCAGAGGGCACTCCAGTTCACACCTAGAATCTGTGGTGGTGATAGTGGTAGATATAGGGATGCAGGTAGGAAGGGGAGATGCTTACTAGAGGTTGGAATATTGGGTATCCTTGTCTGGGCCTCAGAGTGAAGGGAGGGACAAGTTCAGAACATCTGGAGTCAGCTTCAGGAAAAACACATTTGGTGCCCTCAGTGTGGGGAACAAGCAGGAAGAAGCCGTGAAGTCTGCAGTAAAAATAGATTTCTCATCTCTAAGTGTTGTCTATCTCCCTCCCATGGGGAACTGTCATCATGGCTCATGTGGAGCCTGGTGGACACTAGAGCGTGCCATCCCGCCATGGGCAGGTGATTTTCCTGGCACACAGGGAACATAGCCTGAACTGCCTTACCATGTGGAAGCCTGCTATACTCTCCTGCAAATAGGAAGGAAGGGATGCGACAAGGCATCCCCAAACACAAACGCAATTCTACCACCTCCTGGCCTGGCTTCCTTTCTTCTTGTGATGTCCTTTCATCATCCCTCTCTTGTTTTGAGGCAATGAGGACCAATGCTTTTGCAAAGGGGATTAGACATCTGACTAAAGAATTCTGCAAGAAGACTTTTCTGTACCCAAATAATCATGCTATGTACTGGAAGATGCAAAGAGAAGCATGGGCTCAGAAAGCAGCCTCCGTATAGAGAAAGAGACAGACTCTGATTCATAGGAGGAGAAGCTCTGACCAGCTACAAGGGAGAAGGTTGTCATTCGAGTTTATTAAGAGGCAGTAGAAAATCAGAGATTATGATAATAATGAGTTTGTGGCTTATTGCAAATTCTTTTATGTTCTGGTCTTAATAAAGGGTAAGTGTTGTCCAAGGGAAAAGAAATCCAAGGGAAGATGAATAAAGATATATGTTTATAATTTCATCAGTGTTAGAAAAAAAAAACAAAACATGTGGTCAGTCAAGTGACCACATCTACAGTACTTTATAACTTTAAATGCTTCATTGTGTGTGTGTATGTGTGTGTGTGTGTGTGTGTGTGTGTCTGTCTGTATGTATGTATGTATGTATGCACATATACACACCTGCATGTGTGTTCAAGGAGTTCAGGAGTGTGGGAAGATTCAGGCATAGTAAATTCCATGATACTACTATTCTTTGCAGTCAACTTCCAGATCTGATCACTGTGCTGCCAGCCCGCAGTTTTCCCACTACTGGGATGGCAAGGACATATCTCTGCAAACAAATTTCTCCAAACACCATCCAACAGGCTTGCTGGCTCAGAATGGTCATCCTGTTGCAGGCTTCCCTCTAAGGAAAGCTGCATGTCCAAGGTAGAGGAAAGCAATTTTGTGCACACAAAGAGGCCCATAGCAGCACTTTGGCATGAAATGAGGCTGAGCAGAGAAAACCTTTAGAACAACACAAGGCCCAGCATCAGTCTTATGTAATGATCGCGTCGGTTAGGATCATGCTCATATTCTCAGCTGCCCCTGAGCACGCATGTGCTGAGAGGAAGAGGACAAGGAAGGTGGAGGAGGATCTGAGGGTTGGCAGGCCTTCTGTCTGCCTTGTTGGTCTCCTGTCCTGGGACTGCTTTGGTTTGGGGCTGACCATGGTTCATGAAGCTCCATCGATATTCAAAAGAGAAGATGGGACCGTGGCAGATGACTGTTGCCACATGGGTGAACTTGGCTTCTCAGAGCTGATGCTATGCCTTATTTCTGTATCAGCCCAGGGTTGGGAAGAATGGGACAGAAGGATAGAAAGGAAACTTCATAGGAGAAGTTCCTACTAAGAAAAAGGGCTGCTCCTACACTAGTCCCAAAGGACTGTGTAGGATGGAAGAGGGTGAAGAGTTGATCCACTGAGCTTTCAGGGTGGTATCCTCAAGTCTCACTGGAGAGGGTCATGTGAAGAAGCTAGAGAGGGCAATCCTGCCCAACACCCCACTCCGAGGCATCTGTTCACCTCTGATGATACTGGAGAGAGACTTAAGGGGTGATGGGTCCCACAGAATGGAGCTCTCTGCTGCATTGTTTATGGAAGTGACTGAGGAAGGGTCCTGTTTTCCCTCAATGCTTCTGTTGTGGGGGATTAGGGATGACTTAGAGGCCTGAGGCTGTCTCTACCCATCTTTTATTCCAAGGAAGGGATGAAGCCCAGCCCTGGCCCAGGGAACATTCAGAGAAAGTGGGGGGGGGCCCGTCAGAGCCTATCTTACGAAAAGCAGCCCAGGTCAAAACTGAGGTATAGTTACTAATTACCTTAAAGCATCCTTATCAACTGACTCCCCAAACCCCAAACCAGCTACACAAGCTTCAGACCCAAGGATTTCTTCTCCCAAGGGGTCCTCAGGATGACTTCCTTAGGGAGCATTCTCTTGTTTCAGTCTTTCTCATCTTCAGAGAAGTCACTACACAGTGGCCTCCTTGGATATGTGCTCACTGTCCGTTTTGGGGAGTGGCAGAGAACACAAAGCTGTCGATCCTTGACCATTCTGGGCTGGGCTTAGTACTAGCCTTGCTGATTGACGGAGGCCTGCTGCCTCCAGCCCACCGTGGTCACAGTCCTGTCACCAATACCGAGTTCCTCCTCTGCCTGTTGGAAAACTGAGTCTGCCTAGAGTCTCTTATGTCTCCCCCTCCACCTTGCCACTACTTTTGGGGGTCCCCTCTGACCAGTATCTAAAGGGCCAAGGCTGAGAACCGCATGGGATTCCCACACTGCGGCTGAACCCTACTGGGGTTGGTGCCCTGGCTATTGGAATTAATATTATCCTTACCAGAGCTCCAGGCACCTTTGTGGGCCCCGGGGAACCTCTGTACCTAGAGCCTACCTACCACAGCACCTACTGGGTGGGTGGCAGACGTCAGGGTCTCCTATGCTACCCACCAGCACCTCCAGTTCCGTTTCTTTGGCCCTTGCCTTCATGGTACGGGCTGCTGTGCTATGGCTTTTCTCACCCAGACCAGCCCTCGCTGCTGCTATTGCCACAGCACCTTGGGCCCTTCTGCTCTGGCCCGTCTCTCCCTCCCTCCCTTCTCCCATCAGTATCCAGTGCTCCTGACTTAGCGCATGTCTCTTTGGGGGGGAAGCAAGCCCCAAGAAAATGCATGAGATGCTGCTGCAGTTGCCCTGGGGGGGCAGCCAAAGCGCAAGAGCTGGTGCGGAGAGTCTTCTATGGTCTCCACTCTTCACACATTGAGATGCTGCCAGGGAAGTCTTCCCAGCTGCTCAGGGCAGTGAGCTCAGACACAGGCCAGCCAGATCCCGCTGCAGCTTATAGAAAAGTGGGAAGGGGCAAGGGAAGCCCAGCCACCTTCGTGTCCCTTCTCCCATGGGAATAACCCCCCACATCCCTGTACTTTCTTTCCCCAGCAAAGAGGCAGAACTATGGCAGTGCCCATCTTGCAAAGGGAAATAACGCAAATTGGTGGGTTTGTCTGGTTTTCCAGCTGTCTTTGACTTCCTCTTCTCTGAGGATGCATGGCGTCCTTTCTCCATCTTCCTCCTCCCTCTTCCTCCCCCCCGGGCCGCACTGGCTTCCCAATTTGGTCTTGGTTTTTTCTCCCTGTGAGAGAAGAGCATGCATCGGAGGGGATGGCAGCCTCTAGCACTTATCATCTTCTTCCGTGTCACTCAGGAGGTCACTGACAGCTCCGCACATCATGCCAGGCCCAGGCCCCCCACGCCTCCGCCGCCGATAGTGCCCGTTAGGCATCTGCCAGCTGTGCCGCAGGGGTGGGGCAGAGCCAATGGTGTTGGAGCGGCCCAAGCTAGTAGCCACGGCTGCCTCAAAGGTGAGTGTCTCCTCCTCGCCACAGTCTGAGGCGTGGGAGTCTTCATGGAGGGCCAGATAGGGCTCGGAGATGTAGTGCTGTGGGGAAGAGTGCGGGCCCTGCTGGGGGTGCAAGGAGTTGGAAGACTCGGTCAGGCAAGCGCTGTTGCTCTCCAGGGCTTGAGAGGCCAGTGGGGACCCACCCTCACTTCCATCAGGAGGTGGAGAGATGCCGCCAGTGTGTCTCATCAGGGAGCTGTAGGAGAGGAGGGGCCGGGGCTTTGGTGGCACAGGTGGGAGCTGGCGACGACTTCGTCTTGGGGTGCTGGTGTCAGAGATGGAGGGAATGGAGCTCTCACTCAGGGAACCAGTGCCCTGTACACAGGAGAAAAACATGATAGATTAGACTGGCCATGGTGGCACTTCTACTTGGGACCTTCTTGAAGTCCTAACCCCTCATGCAGAAAGCTCTTTGGGTCTCTGGAGTAGGTTTGAGAAGTAATACCCTGTACTACTCATACCCTTGTCAATAATAAATTGGAGATGTTATTTGTTTTTGCTCTTTTGGGGGGCCTACCACCCAGCTCCCAAATAAATCACACATGGAGGCTTATTCTTAATTATAAATGCCTGGCCTTAGCTTGGCTTGTTTCTTGCCAGCTTTTCTTAACTTAAATTACCCCGTCTATCTTTGGCCTTGGGGCTTTTACCTTTCTCTATTCCTGTATACCTTTTCTTTCCTTCTTACTGCATGTCTGGCTGGGTGGCTGGCCCCTAAAGTCCTCTTCCTTCCTCTCTCATTCCTTCTCTCACTCCTTGAACTCTCTTCCTTCTCCCAGATTTCTTCTATCCTCTCTGCCTGCCAGCCCTGCCTATCCTTTCTCCTGCCTCACCATTGGCCACTCAGCTCTTTATTAGACAGGCAAAGTAACAGCTTCCCAGAGTTAAACACATGCAACATAAACAAAAGTAACATACCTTGAAAGAATATTCCCCAGCATAGATATCATCTAGATCAGAGCATCTCAACTTTTGTATGCAGCGCATACAAATCTCTGGAAATCAAGTTCAACTACCGATGCAGGGCAGGGCTGTGGTTAGACCTGGGCATCTGTTCTAACTTACAGCTATGACCATAAAACACCCACATGGCTAGCCAGGAAATGGAAACTGTATATAACAAGGGCATACAGGAATACCTTCAAATCCTAGGCAAACAACTCCCTGAAAGGTGAAGGAATGCTCAGAGCTGCTGTCTGGGAAACTGAGGAAAAGAGTTCTAAGGAAAAGCAAATTCCTTTCCTTCTTGCTTCTCTGTCAGCAGTGGCTTGCTGCCCTTGGCTTCTACACCCCACATTGTCTATAGTCTTGGGCCTTACCTGCCTTCCTTGCCTATTCCCAATAGTACCTGAGCCCAGGTATTGGCAAATGGATTCCAGCACTGAACTCTCAAGGTGTGTGAGAACCTGTGAGAACCCTGTGAAAATCTTCTGGGGTGGAATCCTTTCAGATGTAGAATTCTGGGTCCGACTTTTAAGCAAATCTCAGCTGGATTCCTTAAAGTCCCAGGAATTTGCTGTGCTAGCAAACTCCAGGGCTGGCTCCACAGCAAGACTACTTGGAAGCATCTGTTCCCTAGGTAAACTTCTCTACTGCTATGTCTCAGAATCGCTTTAGCAGCTCTCCTGCTCTTGGCTAACCATTTCCAAATGAGTCTTGTCTCTGAACTCCAGGAACTCCCCTCCAGAGCTAGGGCTGGGGGAGAGGGACAATGCAAAGAATACTGTCACACAGCTGATAGTTCTTAGGCATGGGGAGGTGAGACACGCTCCCTCTCTTAAGATGGCTGCTCAACAGATTAAACAAATCCTGGTTTGTGAGATGAATCATCATTATGATTAATATGAGGATCACACCAGAGCTAAACCTTTTGGCTGAAGGGACTGTCTTTATTTCATTACGTCTCACGGAATTTGTATATCCAGATTCTGAGGACAGGCATGGACTAGCTTTCTTAAGGGGGGGAAATCTTGCTTCTTGTGAGTTCCTGTCAGCCAGCCTCTTACACAGTAGTTATTTCCCATAAACATTGGGCTCTGAGCTCTTAGAGGCCTTCCCAGTATAGAACCTTCTCTTCCCTGACCTGCTGGAGGTTCAACTTCTCCATGTTCACCTGTCTGTTGGGGGTCTGTGACCTTCCCTCGCTGGGTGACCTGGACTGGCGACGCTCTGGGGACTCCCAGTCAGCCTGGGTCCCTCGCTCTTCAGAATTGCAGCGGGAGACATCAGGAGAGAGAAGATGCTTTCGTTCTTTGGACCGGCCTCTCTCCCTGCCTCCTGAGCGGTGAGTGTCAGACTTGTGGCCTGTGGAAGGTGACAAAAACAACTGCTTATTAGTACTCAGCTCCCTCTGGCTGGTGACGCTGAACTCCAAGCCACAAATTCTATCCCAGCCAGGGACTGAGTCCTAACCTCCAGTGGAATGAAGGGAGAACAGACAGCCTTTGGAAGGTAAGCAGATCAGGAAAGCAGGGCTCTTATTATGGAATAAGCACCCAGAGACACTTGGCTTCCTGTCCTGGCTATCTAACCCGTGAGGATGTGATGGGAAGATAGCTACATGTGAACCAGGGAGGGAGTCCCCACCAGACCCTGCTGTCATCCTGCTCTTAGATTTCCTGGCCTCCTGAACCGACAGAAGCATCCTGGCTTCTCTAGGCAGATCAACAGATGCTTGAAAGAGAAACAGGAGAGGAAAGGATAGAAAATTCCCCTTTTGTGAGCAAGCAAGTCCCTCAGGTAGCACTGAGAAGACATGCATGGGTGAGTGTAATCTGTTTTCCCTGCTTCCTTTTATGCCAGATACTGTGACTAGTGTTACATCAACACAGCACAGTTACATCAACGCAGCGCAGGAATTATCTGTATCCTGTACCAGGAAGGGAATGAAGGTTCCATGAATGGAGTACTGGCACATCGAATACAGTGTTAGGCTGAGAACCCTGGGATTTAACGTCGAGGATCTCCATTCTAGTTTTAACGCAGCCATTTACTAGCTGTCAGTATGGGGACGATCACTGGTTTTCAAGTTTGATTCCTGCACCTAGTGAAGTAGGCAGAGTGAGACTAATGACTTCTTAACATTTTAAACAAATCAGTAAAACACAGAGAGAGGTTTGAAATGAAACCCAGTACCTGAAACAATTCCAAGTAGTACTAAGGAGGAAACTGAAGCTGGTGGAAGAAAGAGCTCTGCACCTTGGGCGGGGGTGGGGAGGTGGGGGTGGCTTCTACCATATTCCTATGGAGTCCTGATCCTTTTGTAGAAGGTTAACTGAAAAGCTTGATTCATCACATTGGCATTTGCCTAGGGTCTGTTTCAGGACAACTCAGAGATAAGCAACACACTTTGACAAGGGGCATCCATCTTTCAGTTTGTGTATGAATGGGGTGGCCCAGGTGTGTCACGGTATGCATGTGGAGGCCTGAGGAACTGGTCTTACTTAGCTTTGTGTCGTGTTTGAGACAGTGTCTCTTTACTGTGGGCAGTGGCATACTCCAGAAAAGCAGGATCCATCTCACCAGAAGATGATCATGGGGTTGCAGATTTGCACTGCTGTGCCCCAGTTTTATGTAAGTTCTAGAGATTTGAACGCCTGCTCTCACACTTGCACAGCAAGCTCTATATGTAAGAGCCATCCAGCCAGTCCTTCCTTCACTTTCTTAAACCCTGGTCTTTATCAAAATCATGTTCCAATCATTTCTGATCCTTAAAAAAAAAAAAAAAATCCCAAAGAAAAGAGACGGTGCTAAAGGAGACCTCCTTACCAGAGTCAGAATTCAGGCGGTGGGCTGACAGCCTCAGGGAGGAATGATAACTTCTGCGCCGTGACTTGTAGGTATTTTCACTGCTACGCTCCATAGAGAACTCCTCCAACCATGAGGAATTTGAACGCTTATCCCGAATTGTAGAAAATGAACGTCGCATAGAGCTAGGGTCTGTTACCACCTGGAAAGAAAAGCCCCCAGAGGTACACAAAGTCTGGATTAATTATGGGAAGAATCTGAAAAATCCAGATATGGCACTGAAACTCTTAGGAACTGTGAACTATATAACCCCTGGGGGGGGGGAGTCACTTCCCTTGAATCTCCCTTGCACAATCCTTGGCTACAAAGGCTAATCAGGAAGAAGTGTCCTGTGTCGGCTAACAGTCACTGATGAATCCACTAACTGTGCGGAGTGTGGGCAGGCACTGTGCAAAGATCTCTTAGAACTGTCTGCCAGAGGGACTCAGTCAGGACCCACTGTAGAGAGTGAGTCACTTTCAAAAAGGTGGTGTAACCATCGTCCAAAAGGCTGCATGCTGAGGGAAGCACACTTCTCTCTTCCGTTATTTATTCCATGGAAAAGGTTCCGCCCTACAGCCCCCTAGTCTAGGAAAGCTTGCAACTGAACCACTAAGAAAGTACCACCCTTCTGCCACCACCCCCCACCCTAGTCTCCCATCACCCCCAAACTTTGGATTGCCACAGGTGTTAGAACAGATCCACAAAAACTTCTTGTCTCTGTCAAAACGTCATGTAAGACAGACAAAGAAGCCAAGGAAACAGACAAAGAAATGAGGCGTGGCCTGCACTGGATCAGACAGTCCTGACACAGAGCGGTGCGTACAAATAACCCGTATGTGCTGAAAGGGCTTGAAAAGAAAAAAAAAAAAGGATGGGAAAATACATAGAGAAAGACGCTGGTTGCTTAACTGATTGGGTGCTAAGAATGCTTAACCCAGTGCAGGAGAAGAAGTTAATATTATTTTATTGACTAGACTTTTGAAGGCAGGACTTATTTAAAACACAAATATAGAGAAGACTTTATCAGAGATGGTCCATGAGCCGGTTCTTTTTGTGTGTGCAGGTAAGGAGTAGAGGAAAGTTCAGGGCTTACCTGAAAATATCAGGTATTTCATAACCCATCTAATAAAGCCTGCGATGCCACTGCATAAGGTATGTGGTGTTTGAGTTTTACCTGGGGATCCATAGTCAGACGTGGCATAGAGGATGCCCTCCCAGATCCCGCATGCTTCTGGGTGTCCGGAGGAAGGTAGATGCCATGGCTAGAGGACTGCACACTTTTTAATTCACTAACCTCTGGCTCCTGGAAATAAACACACAGCCAAGCTTGTGGGACTTGGTTCCATCTGGTTGCCTCTCACCTCCAGTGGATGATTCAGCCCCCATTGTAAGAATAGCTTTTAGAAGGGAGACTGATGTTTATGAGGCCCTCGTTGTAGGTGTATATGTGTATTTATGTGTTGTATGCATGCTTAACTGTACATGTGTGAGGCCAGATATCTCAAACAGGAGGCTCTCACTGGGATGAAGAGGTAAAGGCCATCTCTGAAACAAATTTTCAGGTATTATAGCTTTACCAAACAAACATTTATGCTCATTGGGAACTTTATATATGTGAAGTATATTTTCTGATAGGTGTTATTATTGTATTTATTCTTTGAAGAATTCTTTTATCAGATACTTAGAAACCAGGATTTGAAAGAAAGTTACTAAGTATCTAAGAGAAAATGTTATGAATTTGTGTTTATAACTTATTAGAGTTTCATAATTAAAGCCATTGAGAGTATAGTGGGTAGCCATCCCTCAGGGATCTACTAACTAGTTCAGTTCAATAGAAATATAATGCAAACCACTTCTGCGATTAGATATGTGATCAGTAGAAATTTTTGTAATTATACATTTTATTTAACTTAATATATTAAAATATTAACACACAAACATGTAAAATACCTCATTTTTTATAATTATTACATTTCATTTGTACTCATAACATTTCAATTGTTCATCAGCCATATGTGGCTGATGTTACTATATAAAAATGTGACCCTCCAAAGTATTACAAGGTTGGATAGTTGTTAATTTTCTGTCAAACTCCCTTGTTGTTTTCCTGGATAAAGAATGTGAGTTTGCCATGAAGATAACTTGTGTCACTGTATAAGTTTTGGAACTGCTTGGAGATGATTCCATGAACCATGCAGAGATCAAATAACATCTTTGACATCTGGAGATTATTCTAGAAAAAAAAAGTCATTTTATATTTATGTACCCATAGTTTAGAGTATAAATACCTAAGTAGGTCAGTGCCCAAAGAAAGGGAAACCTGGGGTGGCCAGCCCACTTTATGGCTAGCGGTGTGGCTGGGAAGAGGGTCTTTCCGGGGCATGTGAGATGGGCGCTTGAGGAAGCCACAGCATTTGTAGTGCATGTGATAATGTGGCACACGATTCCAACTTCAAACAGATGCGGTAATGACATTGAGGTCTACAGGTGCCAGAGGCAGTGAGACACACTCCAGATGCACACACACAGACCATGGCCACGCCTCAGGACATGGAGCAGGGACCCAGAGGGATGGGCAGAAGTACACAGTGGTGAGTGTGTCGCATGGCTGACACCTGAATTAAATTACAGACACCAGCACTGACAAGATGAACACAAATCCAAAAAGTTCTGGCTCTACAGCTCAGCCTGGGGGAAACCCACACAAATGAGGATGTAGTAAAGTGTCCCTGGGAGGGGAAAAAAAAAAAGACATTATTGACATTTTTTTTTCCTACCACACCTATCAACTAGTTTGGCAAGGCATTAAGTACTGAGAGGAATTTTCAGAATCAACCTAACCATATCAGCTTAGTCCCTAAGTTTGGATGCTAAAATAGTTGGGGGAAGGGGGTAATTATGAAGAACACCCTTGGGAAGCTGTTCAGTGTCTTCCCCACCTTGCTGGCTTCGCAATACAACTATGAATGATCCTCTGTCTCCACAACCAGAGAAGGCAGAATTACCTAGTCAAGCCGCTCCTCTCTGTAGAGAACCTACTCCATCACTCACACACACCACGCATTTGGATGGCTCTGGCATATATGGTAGTGGCAAGAACAGTTTGGGAGAAAAGAGTCACCTATGAACCATAAAGTAATGAGGCCCGGCTCACTGAGTGTGAGCTGTCTGCACAGACATTTGCAAAAACCAGGTTTTGTCTTGCTCTCTCCAACCCAATTAAGCCTGGGAGGAAACTTGGGACTCCTGACTCCCAAACTAGCAATAATGGCAAAACTGATTAGTTTGGCCATCAGCTTTTTCTTTTACACTAGTAAAGCCAAGATTTTAACTAGTACTCTCTTCAAGGCTGAACTTGACTCATTAAGGGTCTCAGAAATTTTACTATCTAGACTAATGAAAAGCTTATCTAGGGCTCAGGAAAATGACTTGGAATGTATGTGGCCTTGTAGAATTATAACGAAAGGGGAAAAAAATCTACCTGAACCCACACAGAGCAAAAGCGGTGACATCTTCTGTATGACCTGGCAGACAGCTGGTCATTGTTGCAGATGCAGCCACTAAGTATTAAAGGAAGTGAGCTTCACTCAAGGGTGCTAGGGGCATTCCTGTATTCCCATGAGCAGCACTTGGTGGGATATTTTACAATATGGATAGGTACCACTTATTCTATGAGACTGTCATAAAGCTTGTTATCATAGGCAAGATTTTATATATGATACTTGCTCTGAAATTTGATACATTAAAATGGCTTTGGCCTAAAAAAACGTAAGTTCCCATGGGAAGGAAGAGCCCCCTGGGACGATAAAACCTTAAGAGGGAACATTCTCAGTGAACGTGAGAAACTTGGTAAGAAAGGGCTGAAAATATGAGTGAGAGGGATCAGGAAATATTTCTGAGGCCATAGACTCATTCATTCACCAGAGATTGCTGTTCCTGGAATTGTCCATCATCAGCTGGGTCCATACAAGCCAACTGGAATATTTCTTGAGGGGAGAGTGGACTCATTGAAGTGTATCCACTCCGACCACTCCTGAAAAGCAATGTCAAATTCAGAGGTGATGAGAAACAGAAACAGTCATGCCATAATTTCCACTAACAAATTCCATCCCATAGAAGACCTCCTCCTTACAAGGGCAGTGCCCTGCACTCTCGGCTGGTCTATGAGTCTATTGACTTCCAGGTGGCTGGTCTTATAACAGAAGATGTTTAAGAAAGCATAAGAAAACATAGAAAGTGGTGTTTTCAACCTGCATTTGGAATCATTCATCATTCTGCTGGCGACCAGCATATCTGTGACAAATGATGTCATTTGTCACACTCAGCCATATGGAAGACCAGTGCTAGATTGTAAACCTGTTTCTGTTGAGTTTCCCCATTGGGCAGAAAAATGCCAGAGTTTAAACAGTGAACAGCTTGTTTAAATATTAAGCAGTCATAGTCTTTAAAAAAAATTCCCCACTCTCAGTAAAATGGTTTTACTGTGCCAGCATCCATGGCTAAACTCAACTCCATCCAATTCAACTCCATGAACATTTACTAAAGGGTTTCTCTGTGCTGCTCACTGTATCTGTTGGTTCATGAAGTGGAAGATGATTTCAGAGGTGTTGGTTGAGAAGCAAAGACCCTTGAGTTGATTGCTGTGTGGGAGGAGGTTTAAATGGTGATGAGGTAGGGACAAACACAAAGCCTGCCACGTGAAAAGTATGGAGAGTTGCATGGTAGATTGCTATCAAACCAGTTTGGTTCAGCTATTCCTATATGATCACACCCATGGTGTTGGTCAGAACAGCTGACGTTTCCTGCAAAATTGGGTTCTGTTGCCATTCACTGCCATCAGTGAAGAGATCTCATTGTAACCAACAGTGAGAGTGAGCCCTTGTGACTATGGGAAGAGGGGCAGAGGCCAAGGCTATGCAGTTATAGAACTGTAAGATGATACACCATCTCTCGAAGTGTCTGTGTTCTGCTCTAGGGAAGCCCATCTCATAACAGTCTACTGCTGAGGACTCTGCATCCCATAGAAAATTAGAGGAATCAGCAAGAATTGCCAGTTACTTTAAAATAATCTGTAGGTACAATCTTACTAGATTAGCATTAAAAGAGAAGGTTTGACTAACAGAGAATCACCTGATGGATCCCCTGCCAGTGAGAGTGTTAGCTGAGTTTTACAACTCCCATAGAGTATCTCGTATTTAAATTACCTGTCTAAATGTCAGTCATTTATTCATGTGCCTTCTCCTGAAAACCAAGGGAACAAGATAGACAATGCACGTATATGCACATGGGTCCCTGTTAATTCCACAGAGAACAGTTGACTGTTGAACAGGTGGAGAAGACCTTCTATGATGTCAATGGGTCTCCAAAAGTTCATGTGTTGGAAATTTCATTACTAAAGTTATATGTTAATGTTATTTAAAGTAGAACATTTGGGAGATAATTAGGACTTGATGAGGTCATGAAGGTGGAGCCCCATTACGGTCTTTATCACAAAAAGGCCCAAACACCTAAGTTAGCAAGCCTATTCTGTGTGACAAAAAGGTCCTCATCTGATACAAGCACCATGTTTTTGGGCTTCCCAAGATGCAGCATTTTCATCCAAATAATTCTATTCTTTATAAACTACTAGTCTGAATTATTTTGTTAGAAAAACAGAAAAAAATATTGGCAGGACCCTTAGAATCACAGAAAAGCTTCAGAGTGTTAAATAATTTGAACTGAGTGATAAGCTACTTTAAAAACTTTGTGAAGGTTCTTGTTTTAAGACAATGTTCAAAATACAGAACATGGCCTTTCCTAGGCTCTTGTTGCTACCTCATCAGCAACCTTTGGCTTTTCTTTGCTCCCAGAATTCCATGTATAGGCTGTTTTAAGTTTGTTGAAAGTAGTAATAAGCAGGCTTTCTTTCTGCTTAAAACTTGAACATAGGTTATTCCCAGAGTACAGGGTGCATCTGCTCCCCACAAAACTATTTCCACATACGTTGGACTTTCCTTACTAAAAGTCATTTCCTTGAACTATTCTTGATCTCCAGTAATCCATCAGAACTCTCTTACATGCCTTCATATCATGCTGCTATTTTTCTTTCTGGAATTTATCACAATTGTACTTGAAAACCACAACTTTTTTCCCTGCCAGCTTTCCCATTTAAAGCCTGGCTTTCCTGTATGCAAGATCACTTGGTGTGTGGGGGTGTGGGGGCTCTGTCTGCCATGGTCACCATTGTAACCTCAGAGCAATCTCTATAATTAATGCCTGGCTCTCAAAACACGTGGTTCTGAAGGGCAGGCCTGTAGCAGTATCTACCCAAAGGTTTAAACTAGAAACATGTGGGTCATGTTCATTCCTCTACCTCCTTTGCTCCACATAACAAACCCATTCCTAAATCTTTTTCCCCTATTAAATACTTTGCCTATCCACTTCTCACCATCTTTAGCCTGGTTGTCCAAGCCATTGCCATTGATAATTTATATTACTGCAGCAAGCTACTAAATGACATCATCTCTAGAACTCTTTCCCTCTGAACTCTTAAGTCTAAACTAAATGCATAAATGGATTTTGAAAAGCCAAAATCTAATAATGTCACTGTGAGACATAAAGCCCCATTATTTTAAGACAAAAATTTAATTTTATCATGGCTTAGAATGCCTTCTAAGTCTGGCCTCCGTGTAGTTCTCCAAACTCAGCAGTAGTCACCATAATCATAAGTGTCTTAACTTACCACATTCTCACCTTTTGAAGAGCTTGCCTTTGGGTCTCTGTTTCTCCATTGAGGACACTCCCTACCACCCTACACCAAGCTAGGTAAGGAGCTTCCCTTCCATGACATCACAATTGCCCGCCCTTATATTTTTAACTATCTCTCTTATCATTTCCCCTTTCCTGATTTGTATCCCCAGGGACTATGACCTGCTCACCAATATCTCCAGTGCCTCAGCCAATGCTCAGGCCAAATGTGTTCTCGATAAATATTGGTAAAATCAGGGAGTAACTGAATCTATAAATACATGGGAGAAAAGCTAGAGTAAGCCCATGATATGGGTTCAGTTAGGTAGAAAATTCTGGGCAAAGGGGGTATCTTCCACCAAGGACTCATGAAAAAATAGAGGAGATACCATTTCTCTAGCCTTCCCTTCTTCCCTCTCTCCTCCAGAGCAATAAAATGAATATCTACATGTTTTCTGAGGGCCAGAGCATCTGTATACTGACTGCCCTTTGATCACACCAAATTGTTTGGGCATGTTCTTCTCTTCCAAGTTTCTTAGACTATGAACTCAGAAAATGCTTTGCAAAAACAAATCTCTCATACCACAGTCCAAAAGATATTCATGGTCTGAGCAATTCCAAATAGTGTTCCAATGGGGGTCGCATCCCTGAATCCTGGATATCATTTTCCTGATCATTAGGGACATTGGGCTTCTTAGTGATTACTGGTTCTATACACAGGACTTACTTAGACCTGACTCCCCCCGCCCCATACACACACACACACACAATGCATTTCCAGTGAGTAAGGTGCTTGTGTTCTTTGGCTCCCATCCCCGACTTGGTGAAGACAGGAGAACAATGGCATCATGAGGCATGGATGCTACCAGAGATCATTGATGTCTTAAGAGCTGGCCTGCACACAGAACCTAGAAGTGCTAGAGAGTCTTCCATTAAGGTTTTGATTTTTATTTTCTGTTTGCAATGTCCTTTTTGGTCATTAGAAAGAATAAGATGTAGAAAGCCTCTAGAGTCAGAAATAACTGATTTTTAAAAAAAATCAAGGTTCTACTCCCAGTCATAGTCCCTGTCCATTTGTAAAAAGTGGTGATATCAATATATACATCTCCAGGGTACAGTGGCATCAACTGAGGTAAGCAAATAGTGTCCCTGGAACTACCAGCCTGGAGCAAAGAATCCAGTGACTGTTGAGTCTCTTTCCCCTTTATGCTCATCGATCACAGAGCCCATGACACTAGATCCATCAAGAGAGGACAACCAAGCATTGAGAGATGGTAATTCTTCCCAACAGAACCATAGCGAAGGTGCTATTATATTATAACATGAGTCAGCGCCTTCTGCTACTGGCCTCTCCCTCCATCTACTGTCTCTGATACTTGGCTGCAGCACTATACATGCTGGATTCACTTTTCCCTTACTCCTGCTGATGAGACATTTTGAGAAAGCCCGAGGAAAGGAACTGACTGACTCACGGTGTATGACTTCTGGGCTTTTTACAATGGTGATAAAATGCAAGCAGGAGTCCTATGGACCCTTTGCTTTTACTCACAGTCCTGAAACGGGGTCCTGCTGGAGATAAGGCAGGGCTTTGGCATTAGCAATGATCTCCTGAGGCAGTGATGAGGGCTCCATGCGCTGGAACATGGGTGCATTTTTCTGTATGGAAATAAAGAACTCCAATGACTTTGTGGGCACTGCTATGAGAAAATCATGGTTTCCATGAGGGACAAAGAAGTATGACTGATTATTGTTTGATTATCTTAATCTTTTAATTCATTGGGTTTCTAATCCTACAGCACTAGAAATATCTTGGACCCCCAAATCCCTTACCATCTTTTAGGGTACTTTCTAGAGATACATGCAGCCTGTCCCCCTAGACACCTGTTTATTCATGACCCTTCCAATATGCCATCACTGATCCTCACCTGTTCTTCTAGCTGCTGTCGCTGCTTCTTCACCTTGCTCTGTTTATAGTAGTCCATAATCATCATCGCTGCATAGATTTTGCCCACTGTCAGGTCAGAGGCTAAAAACACAAGTTGGGTGTTGGAGTGAACAAAGAGGATGCAGGTGGGCATAAGCTTTCTTACCTGCTCCCTGAAACAGGTCTGCACTTTCAGTCACTCATTCATCTAACGTTTAAGGCTCTGAGGACACAAAGTGAATGAACCCATGCAGTGGTGGTGATGCTAACAGTACTGGATGGTACGGACTACAGTAGTCAGTACCACCTCCTATCATTCCAGATCCTTGTGTCTGAGCAGCAATGCATTTCCCCAAATGTACTAGGGCTTACTGAACAGTCTTAAGTGGAGGGAGAGATCTATGTCCCCAGGAAATTCCATTCACAACCACAGTGACGCATCTTAAGAAGTTAGTTTCAATTACTTGTGATTAAAAGTACTTTAGAAGTGAGGCCTTAGTTAGTTTTCCTATGGTAAAGGAATGATCTTCTCTTATCTCCTTGATCATTTGGGTTTCCCTAAAAGATGTGGCCTTGGCATGCTGGGCCACAGTGACAAGCACCATTGGAAGGAGGAGCCAGCACACCTTTGGGCATGGGCACAAGCAGATCCAGCATCTTCTGAGACAGGTGAGGCCAAATGGCCAGGGTTTCTTTTTGTAGCTCTGAGTCTAGCTGCTGTCTGTCTGCACCACCTAGGATAAGATGAATTATTAATAGCCCAATCAGAACTGACACAGAATAGTGAAGACTGAGGAGTAGGTGGGGGCAGGAGCTGAATCAGCGTGGCACCTCACATGATGAGGGGAAGTCTTGGCCCTGAGTGACAGTGGATCCGGCAATACCAACATTTCTGCTGAGGAAGCAGAACACTCTACATCCTATTTTAAGCGACTGAGGCATATTCTTCCCTGGTGATCTGAGGCTGAGACCAAGATCAACTTCCTCACTGATTCTAACAGCCTCCCAGGTGCTCAATATATCAGGAGGGCCAATGAAGAGAGCCATGAAGGAGACTCCTGCCTCATTAATACACATCATTCCTTCCATTGACCCTAACTATACAGTCTAAGTGATCTGATTTTTAAAAAGGCAGGAGAAGGCAGCCCAAAAGGTCTGTGTAGATGCCACAGACTGCTTCTCTCCCAGACCACTGAATTAGCATCACACTGGGCAAAGTACCACTGTGTCCACTCTGTTGGCACCTGCTAGAGACGCTTTCCAAGACTACAGAGAAAAGATGCTATGTGGGAAAACTGCAGAATTATTTCTAGAATGCCAGCATATGCCAGACATGGAATATCAAGTCATTTATTTTACCAGAGAAAGGACACGTCTTAAAGTTACTGAGTTAGAGGGAAAATCAGGTCACTGCATTATTGGGTGCGTGGCTGGCTAGACTGTAGTTCAGCCGGCTCCATCCTGTAGCAGCTTCACGGGTTATAGCAGTCTCCCCTTTCCTCCCCTCCCTGCTTCCTCTACTAATCTGACCTTTGGCGATTTTAATGTCCAGGGCTGTCCGGATCAGAGCCATAAGTGTGGAGGTGAAATGGACTGTCATGTCCTCAGCCACTGGCATGTTCATCAGGACCAACCTCTGCGTGAAAGAGAAAAGAGAAAGAGCAGGCAAAAGCAAATATATTGAAAGACACCTTGGTTTAAAAGAAAGGGAAGGAAGGAAGGTGCAGAGGTCAAGTGCACAGACAAAAAAGAAGGGCAAGGATTCCCCGCCCCCACCCCAGTCTGGTCCTCCCTACCTCACACTCAAAGCACATTTGCTGCCATTTTATCCAGGGAGTGATGCCAAATTCCAAGGAAAGGGGGTTCCCTAATCATCCTGTAGAGCCCGTTCCCATGGGTAGTGCTAGGAATACCCTCCCATAGGGATGGGAAATGACTTGAAGAAGTGGCCCAGGGAAGGAAGTCAGCTCCGGGAGGTGGCTCCGCTCCCTGCTCCAGGGTTGCTCTGCATTTCTACATGTCCCACGAACACCCCCAAACTCAGTGGACAGATAAGGGAGAGAATTGGCCTTGCTTATCATCTCACTTGAAAGGTGTATCCTGGTGCCCCCTTTTTGAGTCTTTAAAAGATGGAATTTGCCAGCCCATGACTGAACATGCAGGAAATCCAACTTATCCGAGGGATGAGGAGGAGCAGGATGGGCAGGGCGAGAGTGCAAACAGGCTCGAGGCGGAGGAGGATGAGGAGAGCGGGGCAGACAGTGAGAGGAAGGCACAGGCATGAGCAGAGTGGGCAGGCCCTGCTTCCCTCACCCAGAGGAAGGGATCCAACTGACATGGCCAAATCCACTTCTCAGAGAGTATCTTGCTTTGAGAATTCTGTAAAACTCTCCTCCCAATTCACTCTATCAAGCCTCATCCCGAAAGTCAAATTCATTCCCCACTGTGTGGTACTTAAGGTTATCAAAAAAAAAGGTGCCATTCCCTGTGCTGTGTACAAAAGGAGCTACACACTGGGGTGGAGGGGGTGTTCCTAAGGATTCCGTTCCAGTGAGATGTTCTCTGGAGAAATACCATTTGGAGAGGGCCGCAGAAGGGTCTGTGGTGGAATCACCACCCTGGGGGGAGTGGTTGGTAGTGATTAGAGCATGTCTTTCACAAATCATGCTCTCTAACGCTCAGGTGGATTATCTTGCCTAAAGCCACTCCACAGACACAGTGTGTTAGAATGTAAAGGTGGTTTCTTGTTTGTATCGGAGTCTCATCCCTCCTACTTCTGTAGAAGTGGCAACATTACTATGATGTATGCTTAGGTGAATGAAAAAGCTCCAGAGTTCTTGGCCAGTCTAGACACCACAGGGGAGCTACCAGTAACTATTAGTGATAGCTTTGGGGCCAGAAGTTTTCTTCATCTATGAGCATTCTAATGACTCTCAGTGGATGCTGCTGCCCTATGACCACAAGGAATCTACTCAACACTTGGGCGTGCTAAGAAGGCAAAGATAATACTGAACACATCCTGTGCCCATCAGTGCCCTCCTCAAGGGCACTTGGTAGCTGGCCAATGGGGTAAGGAAGCTGCATTCCTGTTAGTCATGAACTGAAGACATATTCCTCTTCTGTGTTTGTCTCTAGAAGGAAGCTATGCCATTGTACAGGGGGAAAGACATTTGTTAGGAGTGTTCCTTCTAAAACTGTCTTGTGGAACAATCCTTGGGGATTGTTCCATTATCTCCCTAATTTATGAGTGAAACCATCCCTTTCTCATAAGCTTTACTGGCTCTTTTGATATGTTTCCTTCTTGCCCATCCAACTATTTCCTGGCCACCACTCTGCCTCCTTTGAAAGGAAACACACCACTCAGCAGGGCCTTTCTAGTAGCCCACTCACAAGAAGCCACACACGTGTAGCAACACAGTAACACAGTAAACAGTCCGGGGTGAACAGCACTAGGATCGCCCTTGGATCCTATATGACTCCATCTTCATGAACCTTCCTGACTTGAATCCTTGATTCCCATCACCACCTCCCCATGCCCAGCTTCCTCCCGTCTTCTGTCCTCCCCACAACTGGATCCCATTTCCTGTTGGTCTCTAGCCCAGAACAAAGGAAGGGGTTGTCTACCTTATAGGCCACTTTGGAGGGACATCTCTTGCCGAGGCCTAGCGGTGGTGACATGAGAGTCAGCATTTCATACATCTCAGTGTAATGGATGCGGCCACTGCTCATGGGGGTGGTAAGTAGGGGTAGGAGATGGGCAGGGCAGGAGGGGAGGCAGGGAAAGGAGAAAGTGGTTGGAGGGAAGGATGCAGACAGGTAGGAGAGAGGAACAGCATTCCCAGAGAGCCAAAACAAATTAATACAGGAAACAGAAGAAAAACAAAACAAAATGGACAAACAGGAAAAGAACAGGAAACCTGTTAATCAAGGCAAATCATACAAGTGACTCCATCCTGGTGCAGATTTATATCACGCCCCACACAGACCCGGGAAACGCTAGTCACAACCTCTGGTCCCTCTGACACTGTCAGAAGGTGCTGACTGGGGTGGGGGTGGGGCTCACTTTCTCCTCCTCGGTTTCTGCTGCACTGGCTCTCTAGTTCACTGCCTCTACCCCCAAAGCAACACAGACATGTCTTCAATTCCCAGGGCTGTGCGTGAGCGGTATAAACCGGATAGACGGTGCTCCAGCCGTGGGTGGGAATTTCTGGCCCCTACTGGGGCTGGGATGCTGGCCCAGAAGTCAGGCCTGTCCCCTGCCCTGAACCCACAGGCAGAACGTCGTGTATCCCCCCCTCTGTGGTGTGTGTGCAGCGGGAGGCGGCGGCTTGCGTTAAAAGTGGTGGGCTGGGGTGGCTGGTCAGAAAGTCGGCTCCGTTGCTTCCACCTGGCTCCGTGAACAAGAGTGCTCTTTGTTCCCCAGCATGCACCAGGGTCGATGGCATGCTGGGGACAGAAGGAACAAAACCAGGAGGAGGAAGAGCATCATCTTGCATGCCATGCTCCCCTCCCCAGCTCTCCCACATGCGGCTGCGGGTTTCACTAGGGGCGGAGTTTAAAGAGTCTCAGCAGAGGCAGCTGTTCAGCCTCCTGAGTTCAGAATCAGCGTCACCATCCCAAATCAGCTCCATCCATCATCTAGGCAGACATCCTTCCTGAGCCTGTGTCTTCTTCCGCTGCCTGGGCAGGGCTTGGCTTTCCTCTCATAGCACCTGAAGCAGGGTTCTTAGCTAGAGGTCTTGGTAGAGTGGCTAGGATACTGAGTATCCAGGGTATGGCAGAGTTCAAACTTGTATCTCTGAACTTGTTGGCCTAGCCAACAAGTAGTGACTTGACAATTAATGGCAGACCCTTTCCAGGTGTGTCTGGCAGAAACCTATGGCAAATAACCTGCTCAAGGTCATTCAGTGGCTGCGAAGGTCATTTTAAACTCTGTGCTGTGTAATTCTCTAATGGCCCTCAAATTCATGCTTTTTAAACTACTTTCACCCATTGCCCCATTTCTCTGTTGCTTCTTCCTCTCTGTCTTATAGCTTTTATTGCCAACCCTGGAAAAAGCACTCAGGATCTGTGAGGGATGGTAAGGGTAAGGATGACTGGACTCACACTTTGACTCGTGTGGTTTAATGAAAACGAAGCTCCAGTGAAGGGAAACCAGAACTCTGCTTGACTTAAAGAATTTCTGCATTTGGAAGAAGGAAGAGGTCCTTCAGTAAGAGGTACAGGCCATGGTAAACCTGTGTGTGTGTGTGTGTGTGTGTGTGTGTGTGTGTGTGTGTGTGTGTGTGTGTGTGCATTCTCTCTCACACGCCAGTGTATGTATGTAGGAAAAAAAAAGCATAGTGGCCTTTGTATTGTCTTGAACTCTCTTCTGCCTTCACCATAAACTGAGCCCTTCCTTCCTACATAGCAGCTGCTGGTTCTGGGAGGGTTTGGGCCTCTTTAAACTCAAAGGAAAGCAACATGAAGGTGTCCTCATGTGGCGCAGTGGTGGTGGAGCAGAGGGCGGAAAGGGTTAGATGCTGCATCCCACTGCAGGTCATGGCTGAGGACTGGGAGGCAAACCTTGCAAGCCACCCTGTAGGGGCAGTTCTCTCCCAGGCCCAGAGGAGGCGAGATCACCCGCACTAATTTGTACATATCCTTATACGGGATCCTGCCGCTGTAAAGAAAGCACAGGTGGGTTAATAAGATACTCAGAAAAGGCTAGGGATGGAATGATGGCTTCTCCCTGCAGGGACTGCCCAAAAGAGGTATGAGCAGTTGGTTGGTGTTTGACAGAATTAGACTAGAACAATAAGACCCAGAGAACCACCACCTTGCCAAACTACTGTTCCCATTTTCTCGGGACATCAGAATACATCTAATATTCAAAAGGAACTACCTAATGCCTACAGTGCCCAGAACTACCTATGTGGCTCACATCTGGCCTGAGTAGCTCCAGCTAGACTTCTAAGAGCCAAAAGACAGTGTGTTTCTGACCACAGTCCAGAGCAGATGTCAGGTTGCCGACATGAGGACTACAGAACTCTTGGCTTTCACACCCATACTGATTATAGTCAGTTACTCAGGACCACCTGTCAGGAACAATCAGCATCTTTCTGTAGACTGAGAGAGACAAATTTCCCACTAGGCTCATTAGCAAGAAACAGCATTTCCATGAGAGAATTTGAAAAGCCTTTGGATCTGTGTAACAGATTATCCTGAGTTCAGCTTGGGTAAACTCTGCTCCATTCCGCAGGAGCCTGCTGGGATCCATGTCCACAAAGTAATGTGGGAGGAAGCCCTAGAAACATTCCCCTGCAGCTCCATTCCCACCATTCAAGATCCAGTTTGAGCCTGCAGAATTCCTGGAACACTGTGACCTTTTTTTTTTTTTTTTTTTTTTTTTTTTTTTTTTTTTTTTTTTTTTTTTTTTTTTTTTTGATAACCTTGTCTTCCAAGAACCTTCTTGAGCCTTCTGGCTTCTCATGGAAACGGCAAAATTGACACAGGATTAATTCCCAGTGGTCAAAACATCTTCTCTGTCAGGGACCAGAACAAGGAAGCCATGGTGGGGTCTGAAGTAACAGCCTGGACCAGGCCAGGGTTTCACATAGAAACTATGAGCACATTATCTCCATCTGAGCATCCTTTTGGGCAGCCATATCAAAGTTGTTTTTTACAACTTCACCCTTTCTAACCTTTTCCTAACTTGGTGCTGATTTCTCCTGAATTCTTCCAGATTGTAGCTCATCAGTACACCCCAATCTCTCATGCTTTAAAGGGATGGAAGATAGTCATGTGTCAGTTTATTTTTGCTTCTTAGAATAGTAAGTAGAGGGCTCATGAGTAACCATAGCTAATGTCCTCTACAACCTGTTGCCAGTTTTTCTTCTGAAGACCCTCACTCACGTACTTTTGTTGGTTTCTTCTCAACAAACTTATTCTAACGAGGAAGCCAATTAAATTGTAACCAGAACAAGTATTAATTCTCTAGACATTCAAAATGACAGGAGGGATTCATTCCCCTTTGTCTTTTTGTTCAGTTCATGTGACTAAGTCTTATGGTTTGTCCTGTGGAAGTTTCTTCTCAGCAACTGAAAGAAGCAGAGCATCTTTAACGCACTTGGCATTTGGATCCACAGACAGCATGAAACCAAAGGAAGCCGAGGTTCCAGGTACTAGGGATACCTGAGTGAGGCTAGAGGAGCAATGCCCTCCTTTGGTAGCAGATAGTTTCTCTTCAGTCAGGCAGGTGACTAGGTCCTCCATGCTTTACAGATGGCGAGTCTCCTTATTTCCAAGTTGCATTCACATACCATTTTGTCAGTTACCCTAACAGTAGTGTGCATGATATAATAACATGCTCACAAACACACTCCAGGCTAGGTAGGTATCATTACCACCACTCGATAGATGACTTGTCCAAAGTGAGAGAACAGATAAAATTCAGGCCTAGCATCATTGTCCTCCAAGACACTGCCGGTTGTCTACTAAAAGCCTTTGCTGGACATTGAGTTCGGCAAGGAAAGTCTGTTGCTTAACCACTGTAACAGGAAGGGGCTTACATAACTCTGTGCCCTGGCTCATGGTTACAGAGGGGAAAGAAACTCTAATTCACCCATCCACCTTGAAAAATTAACCCAGGTTTAGCAGCTTCACAGGTTGGTAGATTTGGGGAAGAGTCGCACATTATGAAGGGAGTGTCAGGTGGAAGCAACATGGTCCACTCCTGTGAAGGATGGCATTTCTTGGAGTATATTCAGAGGGGGACCAGAATGGATAGAATGGTGAGTGGAGACTCAGAAGCTAAGTTGACCTGGGCCAGCAAAGCTTTTCATTCATAGAATGTCTTCCTCTCCTCAACAGCAAGGGCTGAAACACTGTCTTTGTTTCTGAAGCAGGGGTTAGAAGGCTTTTTAACAGTGAAATTTTTGACAATATTTTAATAGTAAATATTTTTGAGCTGGAGGATCATACCACCTTTCTTACAATTACCCCCGATAGTGCAAGAACAGCCATAGATGACAGATAAAATGAATGGCTGTAACTGTACCTCCATAAAACCTCATCGGTAAAAGCAGGGAGCCAAACTTAGTGGTGAGGTGGTAATTTGCTGACCCTGGCTCTAGAGTCTAGATGTCATATCGCATCAGAACTACTGGACAGTGAAAGACAGCAAAGAAGCTGGTCCCACCAGCTCCTGCCATTGAACTCAGTTCCATGTGATAGAACCCCACAAGTGTGGAGGGTAACACTTGGAAGGACCACTTGTTTGAAATGTAGTATCAGAGTTTTATTCAACTGTATCTGCTGAGAGGAATGAGGAGGAAAAACACTAATACCATTAACCATGGTTGCCAGATATGTCCCGTTGACCCCAAACCCCCTATCTTATTCCCTGGTAACTCATAGCAAGAGAAGGAGGAGGTTGGAAGACCCCCTGGTTGTGAAGTCAATCTCGGGTATAATGAGATTGGCAAATAAGGGTACAGCCTGCCACAGGAGAAAGCAGGGGTCCAGGAAGCCCAGGAAGAAAAAGACTTTGGTGACTGGCCTGATACCAGTGCCTCTTCCATGAGCTACAACCAAGAGAGTGTTTCCTTCCCTTTCCTAACAGGCAAGTATTTGAGTGACTCCCATCCAGAAGTCCCTGATCTCTAGGTGGCCAAGAGGTTTACATACCATGCTGCTCGGTCATATTCTGCCCAGACACGGACAAACTCATCCAAGTGGTGAGGCCCCAGGATAGAGGAATCTCGAGTCAGGTACTCGAAGTTGTCCATGATGACAGCCACGAACAGGTTAAGCATCTGAAGGGCAAGGAGAAGGGTTAGGGGAAACCAGATTAAGCCCGGAGAGCTTGCTGAATGCGACTCATTTTCGTTATTCACTCTGCACATTTCATTGTGTGGGCATCATGGGTTCATTTTTCTATGCCGCTTCTCATTTGCACAATACTCCATTCACTTTTATTGCCTGTTTGGTTTATTTAATTGTTCTTGTGGAAGCAGGGGGAATAGTGGTTTCAGCATTCTTAAAGGCTTAAGGAAGTCAAGGCCAGATAACAACATTCCTTCTCCAGCTTCCATCCTCGAGCTGCTTCACAAAAAGGGCCTAAAAGTACTGTGAGAGCCCTAGAAACAAAGAACGGGTGAAGGTGATTGTCCTCTCTGCTTGTTTAGCCAATCTTTACTGTGTACCCATTGTAGGCCAACCACACTGACTTGGGTGCTGGGATATGAGATTACAGAGCACTAGTCCAGAGATACATCTTGAAACACAGCAGGCCTTCACTAGACCTTGTTATAGGAATACTCTTAAAGAGTTAAATAGTGTCTAGAAAGGACAGTGATATGTGGGAAACAGAAAAAAGTTGCAAGTCATCACGGCCATGGAAGCAGTACATGCAAGAGACAGGAGAGACAGAACAGTGCACAAAGGCCATTCCTGGTAGCTAAACAACACGGAGAAGTCATTTGATTCTGGCACTGAAGGGTGATGAAGCAGGTCCTATTTGCCAGAGGACACAAGCACGGAGAGGCAGAGGAGCCAGCATCAATGAGCACAGACATATGTAGGAGTCGGGACATTCTAGGGTCTGTACGGAGAGAAGAACATCCCGGGCCAAGTGCCAGATCACAAGAGCATCATGTCACCATGCTACAGTCTAAACCAAGACCAGCAGCTAACTAGCCAGACATTCTCGTATGCTGTTAGAGCTGTTCGGCTCTGGTATTTCAACACCCAAACAGCCACAGATACTAGAAATATCAACAAGCATGGCTGCGTTCCAAGGAAGCTTTGTTTATGGATTTGGGAATTTGAATTTCATATAACTTCCACATGCCGTGAAAATATTATCCATCTTTTGTTTGTCTCTCCCTCATTTAAGGATGTAAAAATCATAGTTCATAGACCATACAAAACCAGGTGGCAAATTAGATTGGCCCATGGGCTACAGAGTCTGCTCATCTGTAATCCATAAGCAGAAGAAACTACTCATGGTGGTTAAACAGAAGAGATACCAAGAGACATTTGTCTTTAGAAATAACCTTGTTAATGGTGTAGGAGGTAGGTGGGGGACCACGGTGAGAATGTTGTATTCCTGGGCCAAGCCATTCACAAGAACATTAGTAAAGACAGGAATTGACCAGTTCTGTTGTGTTCCTAGGGTGCCATTGATTGTATTATTCCTAGTACAGGCCCTTGCCTGTCCCTGTTACTGTAGTCCAATGGGGATACAGTCACAATACTGTGACCTAAGCTTTACCCAGTCATGGAATTCTGTATTTCCTTAGCTCACAATGAGTGGAGAATCAACAAAAGCCAATGAAGGGCATTGGGTAAAAATCATGACCCTCTCTCTCTGTTATTCTTCGACATGAGAATATATAATATCTAGAGTTAATGCTACAGCTGCCTGGTAGCCATCAGATGTGAGGTATTTGAGGAAGAAGCTCAACAGGGGGGAGGGAGATTTATGAGTAGAGAAAGCATAAAAATAAAATTTGTCCTGGTGATGCCATCTGAGCCCCATATCAAGGCTTGCTTAAGCCTGCCTTGCCCCAGGAAACCCCAGTGGTAAGTACCCATAAAACTCCATTTTGTTTAGGTTGCATCTAGCTGGGCTTTCTTTCACTTAATATTCAAGATTCTTACCTGATAAACAATTGGTTGTGGGAATGAGAAAATAAAAGTCTCTGTTATAGAATCCTAGGTTTAGTGGCTGGGTTCATGGGCTTCCTAGATATGCAGGCAAGTTATCTAGGATACAGAGGAAAATCTACAGGAGGGGATACAAGTGCACTAGTCTTTGCAACACGGAGAGGGCTGGGTAAGTCCTAATAGCCACGGTAAAGATGGGTGACTAGAGGCTGACTTGTCTTCTCTTGGCATTAGGGCAAAGGACATTCCTTAGATGCTAGAGGAACGAGGCAGTGCCAGGCCGTCAGAACAAGCATGACAGCTTCCTCCAGACTTCACTGCCATGCAAGCAACATCCCTCCTGGTTAGGATGCTGTTGTTTGAAAATTGCTGTTTCATACTGCTGAACCCAACGCAGGCCTCTCTACCACAGTGACTTCATCCAAGCACTTTGTGGACTGTAACTGTTTTCCGTGCATCTCCACATCTTTCACACTCCTTCCAGGCACTTATTATTAGTGTTCATAATAACTATTAACACTGCTATTGCTTCACATTCATAACCTTTAACAGTGTGCTGTGTGCATTAACAGCTATTGTTTGTTTTCAGGCTCGCTCTAACCCTTTGTGAGGAAATTTTAATTACCATCAGCTCTTTGAGAAAAATAAATGTTTCTGATTCATAACTGCATTCTTAGCTCCCAGCACATGGCCTGGCTCATCAAAGGGCATCAGAGATCTCTGTTGAGTGGTTGGTTTGAGATGAGTGCATGACTTGCCCAAGGTCACAAAGTCAGTCTTATGTAGGGCTGAGACTTGAAGGCAGATCATCTCACACTGAATATAGCCTCATTAAAAATAACATTAATGTGAATTATGTAGCACCTTCCATCTCAAAATTCTAAAAGTACCATTACAGCCTCCAATTAATTTTCCAGTTTTATCTCTGGTTTCTTTTTAAATATTTATCATCAAACACTTAAACTATATAAGATAAAATTGAGAGGTCTGTGTGTTCTTTCTGTTTCCAGTTTGTCTTTATCAATAATTGTTAATGCCCTGCATGCTGGTTTCTTATTTACTGGAAGCCACAAAGAGACTATGTCTTGCTAACAGTTCTAGGTACTGTGGTAAAAATGGGTTAAAGATGTGAATGCATAAACTTAAGATTCCTTTCAGTTTTTTTTCATTATACATTACACTTTCAGATTTATAAACAGTTCTGTTATTTTTCATTGAAAAATGTTTTATACCCACAGAAAAGTATATTAAAATATATGTATTATCTCACTCCATATACTACTGCTGTCAAGTGAGTTGCATGACTATATCATGAGTTCACATGTGTTTGTGTGAGTGCATGGATGAGACACATACAGAGGCCAGAGCAGGATCCTGAGTGCCTTCCTCTATCTTGTCTTATTCCCTTGAGACAGGGTTTCTTACTGAACCTGGAGTTAGGCTGGTGGCCAGTAAGCCCAAATGATCCTTTTGTCTGCTCCTCACATGGTCCCCGGGGTTATAGGTGCCTGTGCACCCACACTCAGCTTTTTACATGGGCTCTGGGAATCCTATCCCAGATTCTCAAGCTTGCACAGCAAAGGCCATTACCCACTGAGCCATCTCTCCAGCCCTATCAAGACATGTTTATACCATTTTAAAGAGGCCCTTCAAAGGGGAAGTGTCTTTGCCAAGGTCATATGGCAACAAAACTAGAACCAAAAAGGGGGTTCCCCAAGCCTCCAGTTTGTCCACTCCCTACATTACCTATGTGCTAGGCATAACAGGCTATCCGCAGGCTCCTTGCCGACACTGCAAGCTGAATTGCCAGACTGTATTAAAGACAGACATGCCTGAACATGACACAGTTAAGCTAATTTCCAACATACAGCCATGGAATTGACCACTTTTGAGCAGCAGCATTATTTTGGTTTTTGATTGCTTTGTGCAGCCAGTGGCATTTGCAGTGACGTTGAGCTGAGGGACATCCGGGAGGCCAGAAGAACCGCAGTAACCCTTCTATTGCTCTGGTGCCACCTTATATATTTATTCTATATATCACTGCTGATCGGATGTGCAGGGAAGACATTGCTGGATGCTTTCTCTAAAAGAAGGAACTAAGAGGGCATTTCAGGTCTCTTACCACTTCCCTAAGTGGGAATGTTCTACATATACTACTCAATATTCACTAACACCCAAAGTAATCGTGTTTTCACACCATAAAGCTTGCCAGCTGCCATCCAATTCAATGGCACCATAGTCAGGAGAGAATCATATCAATTACACTGTATGTGATCATCATTTGCCTATTATTAACCCTATAAGCTATTTTCAAGGTACTGGTCCATAAACAGTTAAAAACTTATGTCCCCCAAACAGACATAAGCCTTCGCTATTAAATAAACTACACAAGGCACAAAGAAATCAGGAGTTACCCCAGTAACCACATAGTCAACACGAAGCTTGGTGCTCTCTCTGTTCCTAAGTTCAAGTCCTCATCTTGTCACACAAGGATTGTCCCCTTGAAGCAGCAAAGACTTCAACCAATGAGTCCCCCCACCAAGGATCCTGAGGGGCACCTTGACCCCAAAGGGCAATAATCTAATTCTTCTACAGCTTGAAGTGTGTGAGTGTGTATGTGAGGGAGCAGGAACAGAGGAGGAAAGAGAGAGAGAGGCAGAGGAGAACATTCCCAGACACTGTAGGAACCCTCCCCCTATTTATCAGGAGTGCCAGGCCCACCTCAAATGAGGGCACACGGTTGCTCACCAGGAAGGAGCAGAAGAAGATGAAGGAGACAAAGTAAACGTAGGCCAGGTCAGTGCCACAACGCTCATTCTCGTTCTGCCCTGAGGGTGCAGTGGTATCAGGTTCACAGCCCTTCTCACCAAGACACGACAGCATTATCTCCTGCCAAGCCTCCCCCGTGGCACTCCTGAGCACACACACAAAAAAACCATGTTTGTTAGGAGAAGCCTTCATGTTCTGTCCCATCCTTAGGCCTCTTCTCCATTCATACATAAGGACCTATGGGCTTCCTTCTTAACCCTTTGGGGCACTTTAATGTTTTCCATATAGAGATGGAGAATGCCAACAAGGCCCCTGTCTTGTTCTCCCCCCACTCCCCAAACCCACTTCTCCATCTGCTGAGGGACTAATCTGATAATAGTGAGGTAGTGGTAGAACCCCAAGACTCCACATCATCGAAGTCACTCAAGGTTCCCGGTCTTAAACTGTTCCCACCAGAAGCTATATTCATCTCCCGTCCCAGAATCCTGGAGGACAAGTTGAAATGTACAAATTAACTATGGAGTTAAAGACACTGATGAAACTTTCTAAACCACAGAGAAGGCAGTAGGCGTGGTCTCCTTCCACTACCTATCGTAACAGGATCAGCAGAGCAGAATTAAGAGACCAAGAGGCCAATCAGCTTCTTCCCTCTGGGTGTTCTCCCCACAAAGACAAGAGGTCTTCATCTTGAACAATTTGTTCATCCCGATACCTGAAGAGCAGCATGAGGGACCCGAAGAAACTCCGGAAGTTGTTGTGCCGGTTGATGTGACTCTCCTCATCTAATTTTATGTTTCCAAATACCTTAGGGGAGACAACAGAAATCAATGAGCTGTACTGAGCTGTGTCACATGTCCAGCACATAGCCATTAGATACACAGGCAAGGTAGGTAAAGCTACACGGACGACTTCTTGATGGCGGTCTCTGAAACAGATAACGCAGTCAGAGAGCTGGCAGACACCATGTTCTTGGCCTGATATGGAGACTAATTATCTTCCCCACTGCTCCAGTTCTGCAAAGGGGACTAATGCTAGCAATGTCGAAGCAGTACATAGAATGCAAATCTTTTAAAGTCATTCTACTGAAGCGCAGGTTCTCCTATGCCTAAGTTGTAGGTGCTTTTTAGTTCTGTGGTACCCATGCCATCTACCAAAGACATTGCTTTACAACAAGAGGAGAGAGAAAGAGCCACGCCTCTTTTCCCATCTTGATATTCATGAAGGGAATATCTGTATTTGCCAAGGATGTCAGTTATGGTTTGAGCAGAAGCTATCTTTCAATATGCAAGCAGATCAGATCCTAGAGGTACAACTGTATGTTCTTTAGGTCTGTTTTTATTTAAAGATCCAAACCTCAGAAGTTCGTTATATTAATCTACAGCCAATGGAAATGAACACACATATATCTGCACACACACATACACAATCCAACTGACACAAATCTCACCCAAAGAGAGCACTTAAGTGTAAGCTAAAAGCAAGGTCCAGGTGGTAGGATAAATGAAAGATAATTGGGCACATGAAAAAGAAGGGTGGGAGATATAGCCCTAACTTAAATACATGAGGTCCTAGATTCAGTCCAGAGTTCCAGAAAGAAAAAAAAATAAAAGGAGAGAGTGGGGGAAGAAAGAAAGAAAAAACAGGTAGTCCTGCCTACAGAGGGAATGCTGCTAATGTGTCACTGGACTTTGGTCACTGACATTCCTATAAAAAGAGGTAACACTCAGCAATCTTTATCCAACACAGTGATAAACTCAGATGACTCCAAGATGCTCCAAGGAGAAGGGTGCACACTCTTCTTCCACCTGTGCCTCAGAGGTCAGGACTGATCCAAGTCGGTGCTGGTACAACTGACTACTCCAAGGGTCACTTTCCTAGCCATCTGAGACGATTTCCAGCCTGCGTTTGGCATGCTTCGGTTTATTCGATGTATGCTAAATGGAACGCGTTTTCCCCTCACAGTTTTGAGAATGTGCAATTGAGGAACAAACTCGGCCCCCAGCTATTTTGCTCAAGCAACTCCCACTGACACCTGCTTTGGGAATTTGTTCTCGGTGCTGTTTTTTCAAAACCCAAATACTACTTGTCTTCAGGGAGAACGGAGGTGGCGAGCCAGGCAGCGGAGGGAAGAATAGAAAGAGCAGATAAGAAATAGAGGGGCTCCTCAAGAGACAGAGAACTAAAAATCCCGCAGAAGCAGCCAAATCTCCTTCGTCCTGGATCCTTCAGGTTGTATATCTTTAACCAGTTTCAGTTTCCTTCTCTTTTCATTCCTTTAGCTAGGAATCGATCATTTGCGCCCAGACTATCACCCATTCATAGTTCACAGGGCTTTTATACCCCGTGACTCTCATGGAAGCATCATTAATTGTCCTGGCTGTGACTTTTCTCAAATGCTCTACAAAGTAGTTGGAGAATGTACTGTGATTTTGTACATAGAAATCGTCAAAGAAAGCACAGCCACTCTGAATATTTCCCAAGGTCATTTTCAAGCCCCAAATATTTATTATGGAAGTCGTGCATCTTAAAATTTCTTTGTACTTTTTTTTTTACATCCTCCCAGCTATTACCACCTACATCTCCTTCATCAAAGACCATGAAAAAGAAGGGCCGCTTCTGAAAGTTGCAGGACAGAATGGGCTGACATCCATTTCCACTTGTAATCACAGAACTAGAAGGCTCTGCTTATGTTTAACTCACTATTCTACTATGAGTAAAGGAATTAGTAACTTACCCAAGTTCACACAGCTGGACAGCTACAGAGCTGAGACCACAGCCTCACTTCCAACAACCTGTGGCCATAAATTCCCTCCCATAAGTGACATCCTTTGTTCTGCAACGATGTCTTCTTCTGAGAAGACTTCGAAAGTCCAGAATAGTAGTTTGTCTTATAGATCTGGTTGCTATTTAGGTCTATCTGTAACCCTGCTCCCACCTGTTTGCCCCTCTGTGTAGGGCTCTCCGTTTTGTGATGACAACATTGGCTATGGTCTCTCTAGTAACACACACTCAGGTGTGCTCATGCTTTGAGCATAGCATGGGGTCTCTGTAATGGACCAGGCTAGGACCAGGCAGCTAAAGCAAGTCAACAGTGGCAATGATGTTCACGTCTCTGTGGAAATAGTGTTGTGAAATTTTAGACAGAGGCCTAAACATGATAACTTTAGAGTTAGGGTGGATATCACGATTTATAACCGAACAGTTCCCAGCTCCCACTGAAAAGTTAAAGAAGTACTTGCATTTGCGCATTTCCTTGTCACAGAGTTAAGAGCATGGCCTGTATGGTAGCACAACTGGGTTTCCATATCAGCTCTTTAGCTAATTATCTGAGAATTATGAACAAGGTTAAAGGCTACTTAACCATGCTAAAACATCAGTGGAGACAATGAAATGCTATCATTCCTGACTTGCTGATCATATACCTTGCCCTTTTTTCTGTATGTGTATGTTTGCATATAGGCATACATTAAGAACATTGTCTGGCATACCAAATAACTGAAGTAAATGATGAACAGCATCATCAGCACCAGTGTGGGTCTCAGCAGTAAAATTGGAGATTCTATCATATTGCTTGAAGATGAAAGGAGTCAAGGCTTTTTTTTTTTTTCATACAGAAATGTAGGCATACACAATTTAATTAAACCAACTTTCCAGTTTTGATTTGAGAATATATAAATTCTAGGACAAAGTTTGGAGGGAGTTGTTAGGGTCTTGAAGTTATCAAGTGAGCATTAAACTTCTGCGGCACTTCTGTTTCTAATGTTACTGTCATCATTTTAATCTCTACTGAAAGATCCTTGGAGAAGGGAAAACCACAGCCTCTCAAGCAGGCCTTACATATTTTGATGCTGGACATCCTACTGTGGTTTTGAAGACTAATACTCCCCGGTCATAGAGTTAGAGGGAGAGGGAGGACAAGAAGGCAGCTGAGAGGAACACAAAGAAGAGGTCTTTTAGAAAGAATCTAAGCAAGGCTGCTGACCAGGAAGCTGGGAAACTGAGGCAGTGGCTCCAGGTGGCAGAAAGCACTGCGAAAGCATCCAGGCTGCCTGGCTGCAGGAGACTATCAGCTGAAGTTGTGGGGGGATTTAGTCATGCAGACTTTAAGTCAGAAGGGAAGCCTGCCTTAGGTAAACAACCTGTATACTCCATCAGATACATTAAGGGGGTACATGCTCTTTTTTTTTTTTTAATAGAAGCACTTTATCCATCCCAAATGACTCTTGTCCTCAGAAAGAACATTTGGTTTCTTGGGGCTCAGAAAACCTCGAGCTATCTGCACAAATATCCAGGTGGGAACCTGATCTGCTATCAGGTTCTGAAAATGGAGAGGATGTGAGTAGCCCAGGGAATTGCCCAGCAAGTTGCATGGCCCTGTATAATAGGAATCGCTTGGAATGTGGCTCTTGGGGCTCCCTAGAATGGCCAGTGGTAGGTCTTGATATATAGACCTCAGGCAGTTAAAACAACATGGATGAATTTGGTGTTATTGCTTACAGGAGGAACAACCATCTACCTTTCTTTTAGGTCAAGTCCAAATAACAGAGATCCTGAGAAACAAGTAAGCCTTGCTTAAGTTGCAATGGGGAACCCCTCTCTTGGAAAACAATGGTGTCATTTTGCTTTTGTTCTACTGTAGCCACAGAGGCCAAGCTACTCCTAAATCAGCAGCATGATTGGAATAATCCCAGAGCAGATCATCCTGAATACCTAGGGGACCATGGCCCATGTGCAGTTCCCAAGGTCAGAATGCCACAAGGCCTCAGAGAGGTCCCATAGTCAAGCAGAACTATACGAATCATCTGCAACCCTGCCAGAGACAATCTAGGCAGCTGCTGCCCCACCAGGCCACTGGTGTGCTCACTCACCTGCATCCCAATGATGGCATAGATGAAGAAAAGCATGGCAATCAGAAGGCAGACATAGGGGAGAGCCTGCAAGGGAAGCAGGAGACCATAATTAATCAGGAGACCACCGCTCCTGTAAGTGCAAGAGCTGGAACTCTTATCCCAAGGCTATTTCAATCAGGACTGGCGCTGCTCCTTAGGGCTGTTCTGTTTTGAGTAGTCTTTCTTTTTATAAATAAGCCCAAGTTTTCTGACAGGTATGTGCCCCTAATCTCCAAAGAGAGCTAGCAAAACTTCCTGGGCTTGAGAGACATTTCACTGGACATGCAGAAGATTAATAATCCTAGCAACTGTGATCCAAATTAAGTAGGAGGAACTTAGTTTGGGCTTCAAGGTCTCAGTATTGGTCCCTTCCATTCCTACACCTAATGCAGAACTCACAGTGGGGAATTTGGAGGCAAAGTTAAATAACTAGGGCCCCTTGTTATCCATCCCTAAAAGTATCTTTTATCTTCTGACGAAATACCATTTTTCTAGTGTTTAATCCTTTCAATATTTTATTATATTTCATATAAATTCCCCCAAAGCCTGCTAAGAGCCGTTATGAAACTGTAATGAAGCCACATGACAAAAAAATTAAAAATCCATATTGTGTATCCTTACTGCCACTTTAGGATTATAGCATTTCAATCTGGGAGTCGAAAGCAAGGACTTGCCCTAGATATTCTAAAGAAGGGGCAGACACAGGGCAGTTGGGTTTGGGAATAGGACTGGCCAATATACTTGTGGGGTAATCCCAGTACTGGCATGAAATTCCCCTTTCTTTACCACTCAGTAAGCTCCCTGGAGCCAGTGCCACTGTGAGTCTCCATCTTGTCGTGAGAGTACACACCACAAGTCCCAGGAGACCAGCCAGAGGCTTTCAGAAGACTGGAGCAGGGCAGAGCTTATCAACAGAGTTAACACAATGAAGAGCCCCAAGAGGGACTATTTACAACTTGAATACAGAAAAATTAAAATGCAACTGAAAGCTGATGAGACCTCTCTGCCACAAAGTGCTGAGTTCCAAGATCTAAGGAAAGAAGTGGCTGCATCTCCCTGAGGATTGGCATAAGGGGGCGGGGCCTGGAGGGCTGCCCTCTTCTCCCCATTTGGCCTGGTCTTCTTCTACCTTCTCCACCCAAAGCCTCCAGTCCCAGATTATCTTCCTACTCCCAGCTTTAGATAAAAAAACCAGAGTCCATCTGTTCTCACTTCTTTAAAAAGAATATTTGTTTGTTATTTTTATTTATGTGTTATGTACATGTGCCCGCATAAGTTGATATGCACCATGTGTGTGCAGGTTGCCAGTGAAGGCTGGTGGATGTTGGATCCCCTGGAACTGGAGTTAAGGTAGTTGTGAGCCACCCCATGTGGTTGCTAGGAATGAAACCTGGGTCCTCTGCAAGAGAAATGTGTGCTTTTAAACCCAGGGCCATCTCCTCGACCCTGTTCTCCTTTCTTGTTACAACATAACACAAAATAAGAGAAGGGAAGGATGAAATTCTGATCAGGGGCCTGAGACAGGACTGGATGAAATTTAGGGCTGGCTCAGAGTAGGTAAAGACAATGACAGAGTGTTTACATTGGGCTTCTCTCTGCTTTGTATTTGCTCATGTGATTTTTTTTCTTTTTTCTTTTGTATTTTTTGAGACAAGGTTTTTCTCTGTGTAGTTTTTGGTGCCTGTCTTGGATCTGGCTCTGTAGACCAGGCTGGCCTTGAACTCACAGAGCTTCCGCCTGGCTCTGCCTCCCAAGTGCTGGGATTAAAGGTGTGCGTCACTGAGGCCTGGCTCTAAAAATTTATTCTTAAGCAATCTGCTTTTGTACTCTATCTCAGAACTGTCCTGAAGAGGAAACACCCATCTGCAATACAGCATGACAGGGATTCAGATTCATGTGTCTTCCCTTCTCTGCACTACTCACTGAATATGACAACCACCTGGCCGTCAGTCTTTGATACTTTCTTTAACTTCAATAGGACATAGTGTCACAGAGACTCGGTGACTGGGAACACATGACAGGATGACACATAGTTCTTAGACTCACTAACAAGTGAAGCTTGATGGGCAGTCCTCTTAAAATAAAATAAAATAAAATAATAAAAACAGCTTTCAAAGCAGTTTGTCTTTCTAATTCTAAATATGAACTCACCTGAGACTCAGAGGGCAAATTCTCAAGGTTTTGAATTTCTCCTCTGTCATCTAACTCTGGAAAACTAGAGCTCACTGAGGTGAGGCCTCCGTGGGAATAATCCTGCCAAACAATTGGCTCTTGATTGGGTAGAAAAGCCAAGGCTATACCTTGGAGACTGAACATCCTATAACCAGTCTTTCATCTCAACTCCAACAATTCTTGTAAAGAAGTAAATCAATAAGGAGGCTATGGGATAAACTCCTTTTCCGAGCGATGACACATCATGGTTTTACTGCCCTGTACTCTTTAATTAAATGTATAATTAGTTAAAAGAAGGAAGACAATTTGGTGAATTGATAGTTTGTCATCCTTGAGTCACTTAATGTTTATCAAATTTATTTTTAATACATTAATTGAAAAACTTTGTTTACAAGAAAAGAAATGCACCCAGGCCTTAGACTACCCCAAAGACATCTAATGTGTGCTATTTGTTAGTGTTCAAAGAAATGTAAGTATGCTTGAACACCTCCCTTTACTATTACTACCATTGAAGTTATTGTCAGGCGCCGACTTTTAACTAACCTCTATGTACCTAGACCTATGCATAATCCCATGAGAATGTTTAAAAGAAATATATTGTAATAACTTGACCAAACATTCCTAACCTTGACAGGACATGTATGTGTGCCATTAGAATACCATACATTCAGGAGATGCCAGGTGAAGACTGGTGGATTGCACATGAATCATCTTTTTATGAAGTGCAAGTTGAAAACGTTCTCTGGAAAACTTTCCCATGAAATGAAAACACTGACAAGTCCCTGAAAACATCTGACAATAGGAGGCCGACTCTATGTTTTTGTTTTCTGAGTGTGATGCCCCATTCCTTGAATCCAAGAACTCAGTGTGCACAGTCTGGAGGATTACATGTTTGAAACCAGCTGAGTTACACGGCAAGTTCTAGACCCCAAACAGAACCTAGTGAGAATACCCACATCCCCAGTAAAACCAATAAGTTCATCTTTAAAGACATATAGAACTAATGTTACTTCCATAATACTAAATTTTTATACTTATATTTTTATTAATATTAATGAAAACATGTGCCCATCTCTTTATACATTAAAGCATACATTGATTACCTATTCTGGATAAGGCCCGAGACAAAGTCATAATGGCATATCTTTACTGATTAAACTTTTGAAGTAAGGAGAGGCTTGCTTTGGCTCATAATTCTAGAGGTTGGAGTCCAGGATTGGGCAGTTATGCTGGCTTGGGTCACTGAAGGGTCACATAGGCTGAGTCTATTATGGACAGGGTTGCTCAGGGCAATCTAGAAGACGCAAGGATAGCACACATCTCATAAAACATGTCCTTGTTTCAGTATTGACAGAAAAGGCCCAAGTTACAAAGTCAAAGTGATACAGTAGTTTTCAGGATAAGATTCTATAATGTAGATATGAATTGAGCACTATCCAGCCAGCCTATGTTATATAGGAACTATTGTATTTATGTTTCTAATAAGTTTCAAGTTTATAAACTTCTCCTTCCAATAGGGGAAGGAACCAGGGTGAGGATGCTGCTGTTGTGGTGTCTGGTGGTGGTCTACCCTCAGGGAGTCTTTTACCTTAAAGGACTGCACGAAGGTCCACAGCAAAATGCGAATGGTGTAGCCCTGACGCAGAAGCTTTATGAGGCGTGCAGCTCGGAAGAGCTTCAGAAAGCTCATATTGAAGCCACTGGTGTTCACCAGCTGGTGGACCAAAAGGAAACATGTAATTAGTGACAATATGCTCATTTAGGAAGATCTAAGCCCTGGTATTTTCCCATTTATTCTTTACTCAGATCACAAAATAGACGACAGTCTCTATCTTTTGTGGTTAACTGAACTCCAGTTGAGGGGCACCCAGTGAGAGTCTCTCTAAGCCTCCCAACCCAGCCCTTCCATTTCTAGGTAGATGGGTACAGGAAGTACCCTGGCACACAGGGGAAAAAAACTGGCTTCCCCAATCTGTACCAAATGGACAGAAGTCTGCATTTAGCTGCTAAAGGAGCAGGGCTAGTCATCCCTAGCACACAATGGCATTCTGGTATTCAGTAATTACAATAAAGCTCCCCACAAGTTCTTTAGGATAAACTAATTTAGAGAAACATTTCAGGTCTAACAACTGCAAGGTTAAAGACAACCGTGTTATTCTTTGTGGAATTTAGCTAAAGACTGCATACTACCTTCTTCTAACAGCCTCCATTCCATTTATCCCATTCCACGTCTGCTGTTTTGAGTCATGCAAATGTAACTAAGCCTTCCATGAGACCTGCCACCCCAAAGTTTGCATTCTTCGGCTGATGCTCAGGAGGAGGAGGAAGTGGATTCCCAAGACAAAAGGGACAAGTTGGACTAGGTGAGTTATAAATGGGGTGTATGTGGAGAGGATTTTTTTTACATGTTACTCCAGGATCCAGCTTAAATATGGGGACCTTTTGAGCCGTTTACCTTGCTGTCTGTCAGGATGATTTCTGTGATACTGCCAATCACAGTGATGAAGTCAAAGATGTTCCAGGTGTCGCGGAAATAGTTCTGCCAAGTGCATTCAGTCACATGAACATCAGACAATGGAAGAAGAAAAAGAAAGAAAAGACATTTTCTGTTACATAACTCTGTCACTTGGAAATTAAAACTCGTCGATTCATGCATAAGTTCATTCTAACTTTGGGCTCAGTTTCCTGATTCTAACCCGGAATTCTGTTTCTCCCTTACTAATTTGGGAAATCCTCATTTTAAAAACAGTTCCATGACTATTTGAAGACTATGTTTTTGAAACTGTCACTTTAAAAAAAATCTTTCTTATGGGATTTTTTTAATTAGAAAACATTTATTTTTCAACCATGCTACTGAGTTCGATCAACAAATAAAAAGCTTTCCATTTATAATGCATATGCCTCAAGGAATTTGGGATAAATACACACCCATTAAACCTTAAATATCATACAACTTTAAACTTCTAAATTATTTTTATTGCTTCAAGAGGCTCTATGGGACTGGAGGATACACACATGCCCTAAATATCCACCGAGTCTTTTCAGAACAACTGATTGACAGTAGGATAAATAGACTCCATCGTCCACCCCACCCCACTCCTTTTCTGCTCTGTTACACCTTGTGAGGAGGTGTAATTAAGTTTTTTTTAAAAAAAGCAGGGGAGTAGTCATGAAATTAGGAGATTGATTGAATACTATCTATGGGAGATTTAAAAGACCCAGAAAGTCCACCAACCAGATGACAACACTTGCCTCAGAACGCATGATGTGTCCATCCAATCTCAGATAGCACAGAACTTGGACTACATTCTTTAAAACAGGACACCCACATCTCCAAATTGGCCACTTGGCTTGCCACTGGGCATCAGGTACCATAAGAGTTCTGGAATACTACCAAAGTGCCTACCTCCCTACCCTCATAATTACCATCAATTTATCTTTAGCATCTGTTCCAGACTCTTGATATTCTTTCAGTTCATTTGTTTCCCTTATGGGTCTGAAAGTTAGGCAGTACCAAATGTCCATGTTCATATAGTACTGATTAGAGGGATTGGCCAGAAGAGTGAAGATACACCGCAGATAAAGGATTGTGCAGAGAGAGGTTATGTTTAAAGAGCACCAGATAGTTAAGACTTTAAGCTATTGTTATCCTTGTTTTCTATATGAGAAAACTGAGGTTTAGGGAGATCTGATTCCAAAGCCACATGTGCCCTAGAGTATAAAGAAAAGCAGATGTGCTCAACTTTGTAAACAATTCACTTTCCAGTGGGGCACTTAGCTCATCAACGAGGGAGCCAAGTGGGATCTCTAAAGCCCCCAACTTCCAAGGTGTTCCTATTTCCCATCCTAAGATGAGTTTCCTAAGTCTTAGTTCATTGACCTAGTTTTCAGAGGACTAGAAGCCTTGAGTTCCAATTGAGGATGCCTCACTGGCATGAAGTACATTACTCTTCCATTTTATCTGTAGTTTCATTTCCCATGATTTTAGTTACTTACAATCCAAAATAGTAAATGAAAAATTACAGAAAGCCAAAGAAAAGATATTAAGGGCTTTCTATAAGTGAAAAATTTCAACTTAATAGGATCCAACACAGTTCAGTCAAAGGCCTCATAATGATGTTTCTACTAACGACCTAACACATATACAATGGAGTCTCATAATATTCTACTGCCTGGTGAAGTAGCTATTATAGTTTGTAAATACATACTATGATAGTCACAAAATGACAAGATTGCCTAACAATGTTATGATTAACAATGTTAGTGTTAACTTGGCAGAATCTAGAATCACCTGGGTGATGGGCTTCTGAGCATGCTTGAGGGATTATCTTGGCTGTGTTATTGAGTGGGAAGACCCACCCTGGGTGGATCCTGTAGAAAGTGATCTGCTTCCTGATTGTGGAAGTAATGTGACCAATGGCTTCAAGCTCCCACACATTGACTTTCTGGACACATGGACTGTACCCTTGAATTGTGATCCAGAATAATCCATTTCTCTCTTAAGTTGCCTTTGTCTGAGTATATTGTATCACATCAATAGGAAAAGAAACTAAGATAAATGTTTCTCAGAAAGCATACCATCATTTAGCAGTATATGGGAATATATTATACAGGTATCAATTACCCTCACTTTCAGGTATCTACCGGGGATTTTGACATGTGTTCTGGTTACTGAATAAACTAGTAGGTTATTCTGAACTCTGGGGTCAGATAGACCAGGATCTGACTTTCACTAACTCTAAGTAAAGCATTAATCTTTCCTGAGTTGTAGTTCATCTATAAAAGAAAAAAATAAGCCTATCCAATACAGACGTTACATAGAGAAATGAATGTGTAAAGCACCAGATGGATATTTACTGGGTAGCACAATGTGTGTTACTTATTTCTCCTTTTCTTTCCACTTTATTCCCACCCACTTTCTAATTCTACATTTTCTTGTGTAACCTTGAAAAGAAACCACATCTTATGAACTTCAGGTTTTTCTTTTAAAATGATAATGGCCACAATGCCAATGGCAATATCTACTATGCCTTTTTCAGAGTTAATGAGATCTGAACAAACAGTACATGTTGGGGTATTCCAAAAGATTGGGATGCCAAATCAATGTAATGGTGCCTTTTCTGGTGTGAATGACTCCAGGCCTTGAATGAAACACAGGAATGAGGGTGGAAAGGAGGCAGGGCTTGAGGCCGAATCCTCTAGTTAAGCCTGTAAGTCTGTATTCAGCATTCACCACAATTAGACACATAATTGGGGCTTAAGTCACAGACAATGTCAACACCAAGACTCAGACAGAAGCTTCCCCTGTGGTGGTGCCGGCTTCCCCCCTCTTTCACTTCACTCCACTTGGTCTGGACTGCTTTGTAAAGGCATCTTTCTGTGGTAGAAGTTTCTTTTTACCTTTTTATTTCCTTGAGTCTCGAAACACTCAAAAGGGAGTCAAGAATTCCACAATGCAGCCACTGCAATGGGTTCCCCTCAACTCTTTCCACCCCAAATAATCAAATGAATGGTTGTATAAAGAACCAGAAGCCTGGAACAACCCCCACAACCAACACTGACAATTATCAAGCCCAGCCCGGCGTCCTGCTAACAGCTGCTACCAGGAGCACTTGTTTCGATTTGCAGCAAAGTTTTCCCTTCTTGCTAGGAAAGCGGTCCGGTCTGGGATGCACTTGAACGTGGAAGAGCAGCTCACACCCTAAATAAGTGTGAGACAGCTGCCCAGTGGGCTTGTCTGCACCCCACTGCGCTCACAGCAGACCCTGAAGCAAGCAGGAGGAGAGGGAGGGAGGGACTGTGTTTATAGGACATTGATGCAAAGGCCAGGTTTTGTTAACATTCCTGAGAACAGATACAAGAATTTGCCAAACAATTATAATTACTAGTTGAGGAGAAATAAAAAGAGATCGTGCCAGAAATAATTCATTGCAACCTCTCTCAAATCCAATTCCAGAATCTTCTCCAAACCCCACACCCCCTAAAGGTAATTGGACATTGTAAATATAAATCATAAACATTTATTTTAATTGGCAGAAGTTACTCTTCATGCTACTTAGTGGGCAGAAGGCTAATAGGTAAAAATCTATTATTTGCTGCGTTTGAGTCTATGAAAGATATTTTCCCATTCAAATCATAAAATTCATAATCATTCAAGGTGTATTAATCTAATCTGTGTTTTCTTTCTTTACATATCAAATCAATTGTAGTTCTAATAAAATCCAGTGATGGCCATCCTACTGTTGACAGAATTCAGTAGGACCAGGGCTCATGGTTAGATGGGTATGGAGATGAGGATGTGGCTCCCTTTGCCTCTTTTCCTACTCTACTCACATGGCAGCCTATTTATTGAGTAAACTGAGCTCACTATTAAATGCACAAGTAGGTGAACCATTCCTGAACATCAGTAACCTCCATGTATCCCAAAGGAAGAGAATCTTGATGCTTGAACAGACATACCAGGAAGCCAAAAGCGATGACCTTTAGGACACATTCCAGGGAAAACACCATGGTGAAGGCAATGTTCAGGTACTTTAGGGCGAGTTCATAGGTACAAGGAGCAGAATAGTACTGCCAGGAAGAAGAAAAAAAAGAATAGAGTCAAAGCCTTAAGACCTATGTGTATATGGTGGGATACACATGCCAGGTCTAGTCATCTCTCAACTTGCCCTAATAGAATACTTCAGTGCATGTGTGTTATATAGTGAAACACATCCCCATGTCCCACTTAGGACAGCTTAATAGCAAAGTCACCTTCATGTCCAGACTAAAGGTAGCCATGACAAAAGCACTTTCCAGAGTTAAGCATTTTGCACTTAGCATGAAATATAATCAAGATCACATTAACTCCAGTACTCCTTTAGATTCCATGATTTCTAAAGGGCTTTGTCCACCCTTGTCAAAGATGGACCCTACTGATGACACTTTTGTTCCTGAAAGTCCCTAAATGCTACTCTGTTACTCTGCATTTCATTTAATGACCCCATCCCTATCCCAAAGTTCAAGGACTGGGCTGTTGAACTAGGTAAACTCAAAAAGACTTCATGATGGAAGAGCAGGTAAAGGTGGCAGGCTAGTAAGGTAGAGTGGTTTCCCCGATCACTGCACACATACAATTACTTCTCACCTTCATCATCAGCACGACAGTGTTCAAGGCGATCATGGCCATGATGGTATACTCGAAGGATGGAGAAACCACGAAGTGCCACACGCGGTACTGGAAGGTATGCCTGTTCTGCGGCATGTAGCGGGTGAGGGGTTTTGCACTAATGGCGAAGTCAATGCATGCGCGCTGTAGAAAGTCCAGTTATTAGAATCAGCTCAACCTCCCCTAAACATTGAATGGACTCTGTGAAGGGGGCTTATCTACTGCCTAAGAATGCCTTATCTGAAATATGTAGGGCCAGAGTGATTTGTGATATCAGATTTGTTTCTGAGTTTTTAATGTTTACATAAATGTAATGAGATATTTTGAAGACAGGATGCTCAGCTAAGCACAAAATTCATTAATATTTCATATGTGCCCCAACCACATAGCCTAAGAGTAATTTATGTAATATTTTATTAATTTTCTGCATGAAACAAAGTTTCATGGTATGGAATTTTCTACTTGCCATATCATATCATTTAAAAAGTTTTGGATTTTTATATTAGAAATGTTCAAACTGCATCTGCCTATGCATTCCTCTTATAACCTATGACTGTTTCTAGGTTAAACAACAACAAAGTCAACCTTATAAAACCCTACAATGTTCCAAACCTATGCATGTGTTAGAGGAACATTTAAGAAAACATAACCCCGGGCATTAGAAACACAGATGCCATGAGAATCAGGGAGGTAAGCAAACATCTTCATGTTGTAATTGACTATCACACACAAGGGTAGAGATTGCATGCTTATCTTTATGTATAATTTTGTATCTTGTCTGTGTATGATGTATGTGCATGTGAGCGTGCAGGTGAGCATGCCTGTGCACACACATGTGGTCAGAGAAGGACATGGGGCATCTTCTCCTATTGCATTCTTGCCTTGAACTAGGACCTTTCATTGAACCAGAAACTCACCATAAGGTTAAGCTAACTGGCTAGCAAGCTCTCATGATTTACCTATATGTGTTTCCCTGTTGGGGTTACAGGCACATGCAGCCATGCCCAGCTTTTTAAAAAATGGTGTGTATGTGTGTGTGTGTGTGTGTGTGTGTGTGTGTGTGTGTATACACATCATAATGCACATGTAAAGGTCAGAAGACAACTTATGGAGGTTGGTGACTTTCTTATATCAGGTTGCCCCTGGAGACTGAACTGAGGTCATCAGGCTGGGCAGCTGGGATTTGTAGACCCTGAGCTGTCATACCAGTCCCGTACCCCGCTTTTTATGTGTATGCTGGGAATTCAAACTTGGGTCCTCATACATGCCGAAAAGGTGCTCTTACCCACTGAGTCCCAGATCCAAGACTGCATGCCTCTGTGCCTCCCCCTGGGCTTTTCCCCTCTTCCCACTCTAATAACCAAGTAAAGTTAGGAAAACGTGGTCTTTCTCTCTATGCACGCTGTCCCGATTCTTTTCCAAAGCTCCCGCTACTACCCCCTACTATAGTCTACCCACTGTTACCTCATTCTTTTCCAGGCTACACTCCTCCATCATCTTATCCCCTTGCTCCTGGAAGGTGATGATGATGAGAGCCACAAAGATATTGACGAAGAAGAAAGGGAACACCACAAAGTAGACCACATAAAAGATGGACATCTCCATGCGGTTGCTGCGGCTTGGGCCTCTGTCCTCCTCTGTCACATCTACAGAATGCTGCAGGACCCTATGAGGATCAAAAGAGAGGGTACAGAGGGTTGGTGACAGCCTCAGCTTTGTCGGAAATGTGCCACCTTTTGTTGTTGTTGATATGTCTTCTCTGACTTTTTCTATTCCTCCACTGATTTGGGGTGACCATAACCAAATAGGCAAAGAAAAAGTCCCACTGTTCTTTGTGGCCCACTTTCTATCCGTATTCAACACCTAAGCAACAGAATGATAGCCTCGTATAGTTTAGGTCATCATGTTCAGTACCAAGGGACTTCTAGTGCCATTTGATTTTCTACGGCCAACTAGTGGTGTCTTACTCATTGCTAAGTCTTTGGGGAAAAAAAAGCCTCCTGCTATGGACAGCATAAGAACCTGCATTCTTTAAAAAGAGGTCTGGTCTTAGATAGCATCTCTAGGGTCTGTAGGATCCCTCCATCCTTAGACTCTCAGGTGCAGAGCCACGTTAAGGATAGATCTGTTTAAAACAGTCCACGTGGATCCTTCATTTATTCTGTAAGTAAAAGGGCCCCGACCAACTCGAAGGTTGATGAAAACAAAGAGTTTCAAATATTGCCCTGACTTTGTCTACCCCTTCTCCATCTCTGCCTGAAGGAGTTTTGTTTTTCCTCTTCTCTGCCTCTCTCACCCACTCATAACCACTTACTTAGCCTGGTACAATAACAAAGGGTTAGCCATGTTCATCTTGAATTAGCTTTTCAAGGCACCCACACAGTCCCATTGCAGCCCTCAAGGCACATACACCAAGCCCACCCTGTCACTCACTGAGGCCACCCTTCCCCTGTGGAGACAGTGAAGAGGGTCAGCAGGGCCCAGATGATGTTGTCGTAGTGGAATTCATGACGCTTCCATTCCCGGCCCTTTACCTCCATCTTGTTTTTCTCATGATCTACATAGTTGCCTCTGAAACCAGGATAGAAATGAAATAAGAGCCTCTAAGTATAGTGTATGGAATACTCAAACATTTTTACAAACTTTAAAAATGCCAGGGTAACAATGACCATCATAGAAAAGGAACAGCAAGTTTTATTAAGGGCAGGTACTACTATGGAATAAAAATGATACTTCGTGCCCAACAGATGTTGGATGAATTCTGATATCACTAGTTGCCTGTGTAACCTTGGGCAACCTAATTTTTGACTACATCTTCTACACTTATAAAATATAAATAAGACTTCTCTCAGTAGATCATTAGAAAGACTTAAAACTTAAGGGTTCAGACAAAGTGTCTCTTACTTGGATATAAGATATATCAAATATAAGAAAGGAATTCAACAAATGTCTATTTGTTTTATAATTCTTCCTGGTTTATAATTCTATGGGAAGGGGAATGGAGTTAAGAGAGCAAGGAGACCTAGTCCACTGTGGAAAGTGGAGAGGGATTTGCCAGGACACCCCGAGCGAACAGTGAGAGGCGTATGGTCACAGTTCTTACATGCACTCCTTCTCTGTGTCCTTCGAACTATCGGTGCAATAAAAGAACTTCCCCTTGAACAGCTGGACGGCGATGACAGCAAAGATGAACATAAAGAGCTTGTAGACAATGAGTATGTTGAAGACGTTCTTCAAGGAGGTCACCACGCAGTCAAACACAGCCTGTGGACAGTAGTGAAGGCTCTCGTGTCATTCCTAGGACAACTGAGGCAGGGCCATGCCACCACCCAACAGGCTGAGAAGCTGTCCCAGGAGCTCTCAGCCACCAAGCAGTGATACTCATGGGGTTAGAAGCTGGCTTCCTAGCTGGTTATGGGATCAAGGACCTGGCCTGGGAAGCAGACATCTTCTCTCAATCTTGAAGTAAATGTAAAGCATGAAGCTTAAACAAGATGACAGAAGTAATGGAGGGTTTTTGTGGTGTGTCTGTAGGTACTCAGTGTGAAACCCAGAAGTTTAGTGCTAGATCACTTAGACCATTTCACCCACTAGACAGCATGATCGTGGCCTTGAGCCTGTTGGTGACATCCATGGATTTACTTAAATCGTGCTTATGTACCATCTTCTTTTACCCCTTCTAAATGGAGCAAAGGGCAATCACGTGCTGTTGTCTTTGTTCATTTCAATATTTTATCGTTAGTTCATATATTTGCTCTGACTGTGTCGGACTCTATCACTTCAAGCTGCTGCCCTCTAGTCGAAAGCGGGCTGCATTCAGGAGGGAGGTCAACAGAATTGTAGGAAGGACTGAGGTCTGTCTGTGCTGGAGATGAGGCTGTGTGGACAGACATGGGGATTTCTGTTTCAACCACCGCCCCCCCCCAAAAAAAACAAAGGGCCTCCAGAGACCTCCCTTCTAAACCCTAAGACATGAGGAGTTCCATGACAGTTTGACATATTTCAAACCATTTTTAGGTTCTTTTCTAGGTTTTCAGGTTTAGCTCACTGGAGAGTCTGGCCTCACGGGGTGCTGCATATGTGCAGTTATTTCTTCATAGTGCTGGGTGAAGTGTGGCTGGATTCATTAGTGCGGCACTGAAGGGAATGTGAGTGACACACGGCCTTGTGGAATGAGCAGAGCCACCTACATCTCCTCAGGTTATCACACTGCAGAGAGAGGAGCCGTCCCCAATTGAACAGAATTAATGAAGGCTGAGGCCACAGTCCTGTGGTGTGGACTAATCTCATCAAGCTGCTGCACATACCTAAGCTCCCCCTGGAGCTCCTGCTGCAGTTCGCAACATGTGGAGCCCCAGACAGCCTGGGTATGGGACCCACAGGGGTGGTGATTGATAGCCCTAAACCAGTGGCTGGCTGGAAGAAGGGTGGCCAGGAAGAGTTGACACAGTAGAAGGTGATCCAGGAGGGGAAGGAGGAGAGGCAGGGAGGAACAAAGTCAGGAGCCACTTCCTTTGAAGTATGATTTGCCCCCTGGGATTCTATACAGTGTATGCTGGGCCTAAGACAAAACCATGTTACCACTAGTCTGAGGCCTTCCAGAAGTGACCCATCCCCTTACCCTTCCCTCTGTTCCTCTCCCCTCCCCTCCATACTCTGTTTTGTTTCCTCTTTGAAGATCATAGGATATAAAGGAAGTGATGATCTGAGATCAGGAGGGGTGTGGGGTGTGGTGGGGCAGGTGACATGCATTATCAATAAGGAAAACTTGGGAAAGAGTGGGAATTGAAACAAACAGGAGAAATCAGCTCCTAGCTTTGCCTCCTATGGTAGGCATGGGAACAGGCCCAGACACACTGTTGGATTTTTTTTGGCTGGGGACCACTCATATCAGCTCTCTTGTCTATAGTACAATTGTGTGTTACACAGATCTCCATTTTCTGGGTGAAAGAAATTCTAAGGATAAGTAATCTGCTCTAGGTCACACACCTCCAAAATCCTTGAGTGCTAGACTTGACATTCACACAGGTTCTTTTCCATGATGACCAGTTCGTATGCTATTATCTTAGAGTCACCCGATTACTAGGTTCAGAAGCCACAGTTCAGGCTCCTCTCCCAGACGGTCTGGCTCTGTTGTGCCGATGTGGAGAGTGTGCCTATGTTAGGAAGCTTTTCAATGGTTCAGACATAGGTGGCTTCTGGCCACTCTATGAGAAGCCCTGTGCTAGGTTCTGGGATACTGCAAGTGGGCAATGGAATCTGCTTCCCAGGAGGCATCCTGGTGTACCGCAGGAGGATGGGGTTGGGTGCCGGTGCTGAGGCTTGCTCTACTGGCTGTGTGGCCTGGTCTTCAAGAATAGGACCGTGAAGCCTAAACTGGGAGCTGATGGTCCTCAGGAATTCGGGAAGGGGAGCGGCTTTTCTCCCATGGAGCTTCAGACTCTATTAACCTCAATATATGGAGAGGAAAGGGGAGAGGGGTGAGCTCAATTAGGGTGCTAAGCTTGAGTGGAAAGCAGGCCCTGAGAGGCAGGAAGGGTACTGGACAAGAGGATGAGGGGATTGTATAGATCAGATACCAGTTTTCATCCAGATCATGGAAGAGCTTGTCCATTTCTTTTCTGCTTCTGACATCAATGGACTATGTGTCCTTAAGTTAGCTATTTGTACCTCAAAAATATGAACTATTTGTATGAGATGAATCTTTTCTAAAATTATGACTGAAGAAAATAGCTGTGGTGGTTTAAAAGAAAATGGCTCCCAAAGAGTCGCATTATTAGAAGGTGTGGCCTTATTGGAGGAAGTGTGTAGCCAGAAGGTTGCTCCGGTCCCACCCAGCTCTGAGGTTTCACAGCCACTTATAAAATGATCAGGAAAACTTATGACTGCAGAAGTGTGTCACTGTGGGGGGCAGACTCTGAGGTCTCTTTAGCTCAAGACTTTCCCTCAGTTGCCTGCGAGATGTAGAACCCTCAGCTCTAGCACCACATATGCCTGGGTACCAACATGCTCCCTTGTCACGATGATAATGGACTAAACCTCTGTAACTATAAACAAGCCTTAAATGTTTTCTCTGTAAGATTTGCCATGGTCATGCTATCTCTTCACAGCAATAGCAACCCTTAGACAGAAGTTGATACCAGAAATTGCTATGATAGGCTGGACCATGTGTGTGTTTGGAGGAATGTGAACTTTGGTATTTTGGGTATGAAAGCAGTGGAATGCTTTAAAGTATTAATTAATGGACCATACTAGTAAAAGCATGGAAGACAGGGGTATTAAGAGTTATTTGAACTGTCGGGGGCTCACTAAAGAGGTTTCACAGGAGAAGAATTTTAGTGTGTTGCCTAGAGATCATTCTTGTGATATTTTGGCGAAGAAAGTGGCTGCCTTTTGCCCCTGTCTGAAAAGTCTGCCTGAGGCTAAAGTGAAGACTTTTGAGATTTTCTCTGCCAATGAAATTAATCCAAAAGAGACTAATATAGACTCTGTCATGTAGTTGATTTTTAGTGGTAACTCTAATGAAGATTTATAAAGAAAAGGAGCAAGTTGAGCAGGGTAGATTACATAATGTAAATTTTGAGGAGAAAAAGAGCAGCAGGTCGTGGAATGGAACTAAAACCTATGTTCAAGGAGATAAACAGATTAAGAAATGGAATATAGGGAGTGGTGACCTCAGAAGAAGATCCCAGCCAGCTAAGTTTCCAATTTGTGAAAAGGAACTAAAGAAAAGCTTAGAGCTGGGTGTGGTGGGGCACACCTTTAATCCCAGCCCTGGGAAGTCAGAGTCTAGCAGATCTCTGAGTTGAGGCCAGTTTGGTCTACAGAGCAAGTTTGAGGACAACCAAGCTTAGGCAGTGAAGGACATAAAGCTAGTAAAGATGTAATTGAAGAAGATGGCCATGTTCTAGTCCCAGTAAGTAGCAGAACTTGGCAGCTTCGGCCATGTGGCTCTGTCTTTAGAGATAAGGATAGAAGAAATGGGTTACAGAATTTGCCTCCATGACTAAAGAGAGCCACTCATACCAGGCATGTGTCAGGGGTGTCCCTGAATGGAGGCCTGGTAGAGAGGCCATTGTGTGAAGCTGTGAACTTGAAGTCTGGATTGTGTTGGGAAACTCAAGATGTTAGAGATGCCAGGGTTGTGGGATACCTGCCGAGAAGAGCCGCTAACAGGGAGTAAAACCAGCCCAAAGAGAAAGAAGTATGTTGCAGTCAACAGAGCTGAACAGAGTTGGAGATCTGAAGAATGCTTTGACATCAGACATGGAGCTGCAGAGTTTTGAGTTTTCCCAGCTGGTTTTTGGTCTAGCTTTTTGGTCCAGTATTTCCTCACTGTGCTATGCTTTCTTCCCTACATTTTGGAATGGTAATGTATATCCTATGCTATTATATGTTGGAAGTACATGGTCTGCTTTTTTATTTTGATTTTTACAGGGGGATGCCATGCATCCCAGAAGAGACTTTGGACTTTGAAACAAGTTTGTGTTTTTTTTGTTTTGTTTTGTTTTTTTTGTTTTTTTTTTTTTTGCATTATGATATGGCTATCAATAAGCCTTTCGGGGTTTCAGGGAGTGGAACGAGGTGGTTTGAAAGAAAATGACTCCCCAAAGGGAGCAGCACTGTTAGGATGTGTGGCCTTGTTGGAGGAAGTGTGTCACTGTGAGTGTGGGTTTTGAAGTCTCTTTTTCTCAAGCTTCCCTCAATGTGACTTTCAGTTGACCTCCTGTTTCCTGCAAGATGTAGCAGTCTCAGCTCTAGAACCACATCTGCCTGCATGTCACCATGATCCCCATCATGGTGATAATGGACTGAACCTCTGAAACTGTAAGTGAGTCATCCCAATTAAATGTGGGTTTTTTTTTTGTAAGAATTGCTGTGGTCATGGTGTCTCTTCACAGCAATAAAAATCCAAACTAAGACAATAGCCCACATTACCCAGCCTACCTTAGCACACAGACCACACACACACAGAGGGCTTCTGTAGCTTCTACCTTAATGACACAGGATGTTCCAAGACAAAGCCATACAGGCTTCTTCCTGGATGATAGACAGGGAGTATAATATTAACTGGGTCTGGGCTGAAGAAGGAAGATCTCATCGCCAAGATTCTTGTGACACTGGAAGACCTTGGCTTCAATAGATGTAAAGAATCTCAATCCCCAAGAAAGAAAATGGGATATTCTAAGAAGGGATTGTGCAAAAGCTAGTCAGCTGTAGCTAAAGGAAGGAAGGGTATTGGATGGGAACAAACTCTGAAAAAATTACCTTCAGCTTGGGCAAGCGCTTGATGGTTTTCAGTGGTCGCAGAACTCGGAGTACCCTCAGAGACTTGATAGTCTTGATGTCCCGTCCCTTGTTGGTTCTGTAGAGAAAGGCCCCCAGGAAATCATTTGGAAAAGGGAGAAACAGAAGTGGCAGCCACACTACTGCATTAATAATAACAACAGTAAAAGCAGGGAACAGAGAGATGTAGACCAGAGGCCAGAAGCTAGGTTGGTGTAGAGTCCTTCAAGGACAATCTACAAACATGCCTCAGGAATAGTCTCACTCTAGTGTGCATATGCACACAGTCATATGTGTATGCCCATATATGCACATCCATGTGCTCACAACAGTTCAACTTATGGTTTCACAACTTCAGATGGTGCAAAAGTGAGCTGCATTCAATAGAAAATACAACAACTTCAGCATATTCCCGTACAGGCTAATACTATGCAGAGAGAAACTCTCTTGTAAAACTGGGCAGTCAGTGGTCCTAGTCACCCACAAAATCATGAGAATAAAAGATTGATGCTATGCAGTATGAATAATATGCTGCTAAGTTGATCACATGTCCATAAATGTAATAAGTACATTTTGTATTAAGGCATTTTCAATTTCCATTGAGTTTACCTGGATGTGACCACATGAAAGAGCGGGAACATCTGTGTCCACACCAAGGAGCACACAGGCACCCACAGGCTTCCATGCACATATATTAATAATTGTTTCATGTCTTTGATAGCCACTTTAATGCTATCTAATACCACAATGGTAAATAAAAATGGAACCATGTCAACTAGATATCATGACCAGTGGCCCACTGTGGATCCCCATGGTGCCTAGTCCAGTCTTTTTTCCACAGCAGGTTTTCAAGTTATTTGTTGACTTGGGAACAGTGGAGAGCACATCTCATTGGGGAACTTGACCCAGAAGTCCAGGTTTGTTACTTCTCATGGCTCATCAGTGTGGGGAAAACACAGCAAGGACCAGTGAGGAACCCAACCCTCTTGCTGTGCTAGGCTGCCACTTCAGAGAAAGCATGTGTGCAGGCATCTTGCCAGGACAGTGGCTCACACTCCAATTATTCGTGGCTGGCCTTTTCTATAGTCATTTCTATTTCAGAAGCTCTGTACCTAGCACAGGCTTCAGAGAATCACTCAATTGGAGCAGACCCAAGTTATAGGGCATACCTACCTTCATCCTGGTCCTATGGGTAATGACCCTCCCTATTCAGCCTCTTAGGAATGTTTTCTCTTAATGAAGATCATGCATTTCTCTTTTTATTTCTAGGAATTAAATGTATAAATCAACTTGTATTTCTCTTTCTTCCCTGCTCATCCCCTGAGATCTTTGTATTCAACTCAAATAACTACAATCTGTAAAAAAACATGTACATGCTGAGAAATAAGACTCTAAATAGTGAGATCAGGCTTGGTTCATTCCTCATGCTGGGCCAGACTACTATTATATTAACAATTGCTGGAGAGGGGACCCAGAACATCAGATGGAGAATACCTGATTCTACATGCAATTTGCCTTGCTATGCCCAGCCTCAGATAAGGAAATCATAATCTTTTACAAAAGGTATGAAGTCAATGAATCTAATCCTTCAAGCTGACATTATACCAGTATTAATTCTAAGCTCTTACGGTTGTCACAGATGATGACCTACATGTCATTTTTGAAAGGTAATCCACATATGCTATATTAATACAAACTTTCACATCCTAGAGCTTCAGCATATTTAATAAATTCTTTTGCTTTTTAAGCACATCTACCTACAATATCTAAGAAAAACATCACATACCCAAACCAACAGGAATGGTCACTTCTCAAGCGTGGGAACTGCTCTTGGCGCTCAATGGAAACCTACCATTCATATAGACTCACCACTCCTTCCTCATTGAGTTGGTGCCTTCTCCAATTACAGTTTCTCCCTCCTCCCACTAGTTCCCCAAAACTTCTTACAGAACAAACACACAAACATAGTTACCCCAAAGCGTTCCTATGGTGGATCCAGCCAGGAAGCAGTAACAGGAAGGGGGAGGGATGGAGAGAGAACAAAGTCAGAAAACCTCAGGGAGGAGAGAAGCTCTTAAGGTGATGGCATGCTGGGGAAGCAGAGGGCCATGGGATCCCACCCACAGCCTTGGCACTTGCCACATCTGTAGGGTTTGTGAAAGGAAGGACAGCCCACCATATGCTCCACCACCCCCTCTCCACCCACAGGGCAAAAGTCTTTGAAAGTTCTAGCAGGCCTGCCTCTAACTCAAAGGTACCTGCACCTGCACTGTCTTCCAGGGGGCTGAGTTTAATTGTACTTTTCTAAGCATAAGCGCTCATTTTTCACCCCCTTAGGAGTCTTATAACAAAGTCTGCTTCCAGGAACTTTATATCTGCCCTGGGTCAGAAACTCTCTGAAAAGGCGTTTCAAGTGACAGTGGCATTGGATAGTTTCACCTGAAGAGGGGTGGGTAACCATGTTCAAACGGGGGCACTCTGGTGTCACGCCGAAGCTCAAAGACCAACATCACTCAACCACCCCCAGGTGAGGAAGAGGACTTTTGTTGGTCAACGTTGAAGAGAAAAGCTGCTTTTTGAGCAATTATTTGAGGAGTTTGTGAACTGTTTACTGTACAACTCTTAGAAGAAAAATCATCCCTGTTTGAGCAATAAGACAAATGTCCTTACCACCCTCCCAAAGTCGAGTGATCTGGGAATTGAATTGGAGGCTTATAACCTGAAATCCTTAATGTGATAATTTCTAGATGGTCAGAGCCCAGAAACGTCTTGACATGTAACTCACAGGTGAACCAAACATCTTTTTATCCCTCCATACATGTAACAAGCATCTCTGCAGTCCTCCATCCTTGTCAGAACCTGTTCCAGGTACTGGAACCAATGACTGGCTAATCTCTTGGAATATTAGCTCGTCTTGGAGGGAAGACAGACCTCAGTCCAGCAAGTACACACATGGAAGGAATAGTGGCAACTTGCTGTGGAGAGATGGAGTCACGTGATTTGATAATTTACCAAGACAGCAACACAGATCTTTTTTCTTTATGTTGTATTTTCCTGATAGTATCCTAAGATGTGAGAACAGGGTAGCAGATGGACATACAGGCAGGTGGTCTAGGAGCACAGTTCCCTGGCTGTCTGTTTAACCCAGCCTCCTGTCTCAGAGGCCTTTACATCCAAAAGCATCTGAACCGGTTCTGAAAGACCATATTTAGAGAAGCTACCTCATGCAAGGAGGACCAACATTTCTTGCTCCTTCTACATAAATACAACACAAAATTTGCGTTATCCTCGTCAACTAAATTTCCTCTCCAGAACCCTTGTAAAATGTGGTGTGAAACAAAGGAAACTTCTAGTCACTATATATACCCCAATGTGTCAAAAAAATAGGGAATACTGGTACATTCTAATATTAATAGTTAGGTCTGCCACGCTACTGGGGCTGTTTGGCTCATTCTGACTACCAAGACCTGAGCAGAGGTAACAATCAGACATGGGCTTCAAGTGAAAGATTGGCTATTAATCATTCTGTACTCTTTTAAACAAGTGTCTTACTGCAGAAGAACCATTAAGAAGCTATAATTTTGTAGCACATGTGAGGGCCCAAGGTCAATCCCTAGCACCAGAAAAAAAAGCAAAAACCCTGGTTTTGAACTGACGCCAAGAAGAGCATGCTTGCATCCTGTGTGTTAGCAGCACAGGGGCAATACCAACTTGCAAGTGGCAATTTGAAGTGAGAGAGTTGAATAGTAAAGCAACCGAATTGGAAAAAAAAACTTCAAGAATTTCACCATCACTAACTCAATTAAAGCATAATTTATGACCAAACAACACCAAGGCACTTTCCCCCTCCAATCCACTGTAAAATCCAAGACTGCTTAGGAGATGCTTCTGCAATCTGAGAAGGCATGCTTTTCCAGCTTGTCGAGCCACATTGTTTTACAAACAATTCATGGGCTTTTTATGAACCATCCAAATAATCACTTGATAATACTGTTAATCTTTGTTCCTAAATGTATAATGAGGTTTTTTGTTTTGTTTTTTTTACACTACCTAATTAATGAAACTTGATGAGTTTAAACTGGACTCTAAGGTAATATGCTGGGATGCACTAGTCCCACTTTAATTGAGACTCAATGGGGCCACCCATTTTACCATTTATCTTCTACCAATTTGCTCACCAGAAGAATAGCAAAAGCTCAATTTCCCCATGTCTCATCAGCGTAAGAAGAGAATTTCCCAACTCAGTTGTCAAGTTGCCCTCCATATTCATCACATGCAATCACTAGACCTTTACTACCATCTTGCTCTCTGGGTCCCCTTTCTTCCCAGGATGTGCTCTCCAATAGATCTGATTTCTGCTAAGAATGGGCAGAACAATAGCACCAAGTTCTGAAGAGCCCTTCCTTCCTTAAGTATCATGGTTTCTGTTCTCCTCCACCAATGAGAAGTAGCAGAGGGCCATGGGGGAATTTCTTGTGGGAAGCTAGGCTTGCAAGACAGGAAAAGAGGTCCAAGCTAGAAGGAACTTAATTATTCTGCTATTGTGTCTGGACCATTAGTTGGTAGGCAATAATAACTACCATTTATTATCCAGCTTAAGTACCTGGTACTGTATTGAACATGAAACCTATTTTACCTTATTTAATTCTCACAGAACCAAATAGGGTTATTTCTCATTTCTACTTCCATGTAAAGAAACGGAAGTTCACAAAGTGAAGATATCTGAAACTAAAGAATCAGACACAAGCCTGCCTAAACTACAACGTTATAGTCTCTTTCAAATGGGAACCACTGGGGGGTTTATCCAACGTAGAGAAATGCAAAAGAAATTAGTATTAATTTCTTTATTATTCTATATAATTTCTGAGCTCAACTATTAACCTATTTGTCGTAACTCCCCTTAATTTTTTAGAGACTGCTGGTGGCAAGGAAAAATTACAGGTGCAACATCAAGATGGACAGGTGTAGGGATGCCCTTCTCCATTTTCCCTGCCCTAGGTAGAGACAGAAGGATCTGCAGAGGAAATTAATAGCTTGTAACTAGCCAGAACAGCATGGCAGGAGAGAGTTTAACATATCGGGTGGAAAAAAAAAAAAACCAATAAACTTGAATTCCACACACGGAAGTTGCTCAAGACCTGGCTTTGCTATTTACTCATCACGTGAGTGAAACCAGCCAGAACGCTAACCATGGAGTTCTCAACTGCTAAAGCTGATCAATGCAATCAAGTGTTCATGGAAGTGAGGAGGAGGCATATCTCTTCTCATGGCAATCCCTGTCACTGCAGAGGCTGTGGGGAAACCGGGTTCAGCTGCCTGCATGAAGAAAGGAAAGGCAGCACTTGGCCTTTTTACCCATAGCTGTGCCATTTGAGGGTTGTTTTTTCCCTTTTGCCTCCGGGATCTCTCCTTGTCATCTATATACCTCAGATCCACAGTTACTCTGTCATCTTTGTTCTGCGACAATAAACCTTGCTCTGTGCTAAGTATCTGGTGTATAATCCTTTCCTCCTTGAATGATGACCTCCATGAACCTCTAATACATACCACGACAGCCATTTGAAATGGGCCCTTTTTCAATACACATCACTACACTCCAACTGGAGGGTATTTTGGTCCAAGTACCAAGAAGCAGGAGGAGGCAGCAGAGCATCTGTGTGTTAACAGTTTTGTAATTTAGACTGCAGAAGAGTGACCTGGTTTGTATTTCCTTTTAGTCCTTATGTTCCAAACATAACCAATGACCCTTCATCTGTGATCTTTGTAGGGAGGTCTTGCTGACTGAAGTTTAGCCAATGCATCCCCTCAGCTGCAGACTAATTTGTACTGTAAGGTTGTGTCCTGTGAGTACAGACTGAGCAGGTGGCTAGCAGGTCACAGAATCTAGGCAGATACTTCCTGGGTCCCATTATACAATCTTCTATCCTGAGAGCTCTACAACCTACTTTTAAGCATGAAGGGTACTGTGATGAGTTTCCACTAATCACTCAAAACCAGGCTCTTCCTGTGGCCATAAAGCCTCACTTCCGATACAGGGTGCTTTTTGCATACAGGTCTGGTTGGCCCAGCAACTGGATAGAGCTGTGTTCCCTGATTTGGACTGTTTCATTTAGCCTAGTTCTGTGTCCACAGGATGAAGTTCCACTTATAACCAACCACCTTCCAAATTTGTTCTATGAATAAACAGAAAGACTTGGGCATTCACCTCCATAGGATGTCTGCAATTGAACATCCTATGGATTGCTCCTCAGCAACACCAACGTCACATGTGTTCCATGACACGTGCTGCCGGGCTTAATGACAAGAACAGGCAGAATGGGAACTTTCCTCCATGTCTCTCTGAGTCCCACCTGATGGCCAGCAGGATAGAATAAAGCAACGGGAACTCCCAAGCATCTACAGGCACTGATCACCTTTAGTGTCCTGACCTAGACACCAAGTTAGATGAAGTGCCTTCAGAGACTGGATTCTTGAGGGTCAACATCCTATCTGTTCACTGCTGGACATTTCCAATTCCTTTACAGCAAGAGTTCTAAATTCACAGTTAATGGGCTACCTGGTGGCTAAATGCAATTCTAAAGCTTTATTTTCTTCCAAAGTAAGAGAAGTGGATGCTATATCTAGCTCAGTAGTAAATAGGTCCATTTTTTTTTTTTTTTTGCCCCTTCAAGACAAAGTATAGTAATAGCTTCCTTTGGGAAACTCTCCTTTTTAGTTCTAACAGAGTAGGGGCAGTCAAGAAAGAGGTCCCACAGGCATAGCTTTATGTGTGAGGGACCCAGATGTTAGGGAAAAATGTGGGGTGGGTAGATGGATGGGTTTTGGTGAAAGGTTTATTCTGTGTTTCTACACCCTTCTGGGTAAATGAGCACATTCATTTTGATTCCAAACAGCCAACCCTTCCTGATGATGTGCGCATCCTCCCCTTCAGAGACCCCAATTCCCCAGAATAACCATCCCAGAGGAACAGATGCTCTCACTCCACAAGGCACTTCCAAATCTCAAACTGCCTGTGTCTATGAGTTTCATTGAATGAACTCAGAACCAGCTCGGTTGCTATGGCTTATTCTGAGTGCATTCGAGAGACTGACCGTGTACATCTTAGCCACCAGGGCAGAGTGTCAAGTGTCAGGAAAGTGACACACTTCAATGAAAGGAATGTAATGAAAGCTAATGCTGGCAGTCTGATTCCTTCTGGCATCCAGGGGCCAGCTGACTCATGTTTTTGCTTCTGGCCAAGGACTAAATAATGAAAGGCCAAATATGGTCAGATCCCCTCATGTGCCAGGGAGTCCTGGCCTCACCTCATACCCTGCTACAACAGCAAAGAGTTGTGGAAAGGCCTGGCATCAGTCACTAGGGAGCCCACCTGACTCTGACTGACACAGAAGGTATGGAAGGTGGAAGCTGAATTATTGATGCTTTTTCTATTAAATGTTTAGACCAATAAGCAGCATTAGCTACAAATTTGCTATTGAGAACCACACGCAGGAGCTCATCTACTCATGTAAGTTCAGGTAATCACGTACCTGGTGGATGTGGAGAGGGTGAACACCACCACAGTTCAGAGTGCAGGTTTAAGGCCCAAGACATAACCTAGTTTTTAGTCCTCTGATTCTCCACTACATATCTGAGTCTGGGGGTAGTCTTGAAGTGTGTGTGTGTGCGTGCGCGCGCGCGCGTGTGGATATTCAGATATCCAAAAATAGCAAGGCTGCAACTATTTCTGCCTTCCCACACCTGAGGCCCAAGAGTAGACAGGAGAGCAACAGACTGTGGAGACTGAGGCTAGCAGGCTCCGGTCTCCTGTCGGGAGAAAATGATCATGCAGAAGAAGACAAATGTGCCCTTTCTAGAAAGAAACATAAAGAACAAAAGGTTCCACAGACCTAGTCACTCACCAGACTTTTCTTGAAACCCCAAAGAGGAAAAGGCACAGTTTGGGGCATTTATAGTTGACAAAAAGTCTGTCTCCACAGGAGCAAAAAAAAGGAGGTGATGGGATAAGGGCCTCAGGGAGAGTTATTCTCAATCTCTGCTGCATTTCCCTAGGTGACAGCAGCCCAGGAAAGAGCCCCAAGTGTTCTCGTAACCACCTTGTAATGTAACACTGAACTGGAAAGAACCGAGCAGTGGCAATGGGATGTTTATAAACCCAGATATGACCACACCAAGAACACAAACCCCCTCTTATCTCTTCCTTAAAAGCCAACCAAGTAGAATGCCAGGGTTACATTCTAAAGACTCCCTGAGTTTTGATGTCTCTCCAGAGAACAGAGATTTCACCAGCTACTACATGCATGGCATCAGTGTCTATCGAGAACACAGAGGGTGGGAGGTGCAGATCTCTGCAGCGGAGGGACTCTGGACATTGCGGCATGCTCCGAGACTTCGGCAGGAGGCCACCCTTTTGTTCCCAGCACTGCTCTAGAGAACTGGCCTGGGTTCTTTTGACCGGCAGTGGTAGAAGGGACAGCAAAGCCACTTCCAGTTTCGGGGCAACCAGACAATGATGCTACCATGGCAACTGCCATCAATTGCTCAAGCTGACAGAGCCATAGCCTCTGCAGAAGCCTCGCTAGGGCAGGGTTCAATTTCAAGCAGACTCTCAGAGTGTTGCTCCTCAGCACCAAGCCAGTGTTCACTTCCCAGGTAGGCCCTAGAGAGAGGCTCAAGTCAACCAGGCCACCAGGAAGAGGAAGGGCAAGGCACTAGGACAGAAAAGAATCTACTTACGCCAGAGCAAAGGCTACCAATGCACCAACCACTACCACAAAGTCCAGGATGTTCCAGAGGTCTCGGAAGTAGGATCCATCCTGCAGGATCAAGCCTTGATCTATCATCTGCAGGACAGAATTTATAAGCCACAGATGAGCCCCATGGTGTAAGCAACACCTACACTTGACTTTGCTCCCTCATGACCAGGACTCTGTTGCCACCATCTCCTTAGCCAAGCCCACCCTGGGCCTGAGGAGCAGGCATTCTGGGTACTAGGGAGGCCTGAAGACTCTTCTCATAGTCACACAAATTCTCCAGTTTACAGTGAGGATGTAGGCCCTTTCCTGTAGTCACATAGGATTAGATTAGATTTTTTTTCCTGCCATTGCAGAACCCTATCATATTCTTCTTTTCGTCAGTGTCCCAGAGCTCCGAACATTGTCACATATGCATGAATGGATAAAAACCCCAGATGGGTAAAACTCAGAATGCGATAGGCCTGTGGGGATGTTAGGTGTCTAGAGGGGAGAGAGTGTGGTTGCAGCTAGATGGAATCTGGAAAGACTTCCATCTCCCTAACCCATTGCCTGGACATGTACCCAGTATAAGACTGGAAATGCACTGTGCAGAAGTACACAACCCTCAAGCTGTGTGCCTACCTGCTACCTGCCTGCTGTTCAGGCCATGAGAAGAGATCTACATTATTCAATCACATCTACACAGCCATGCCTTCACCAAGGACACTGAGGCCAGAGAGGGCTCTGTAAAGTCTCTCTTAATGTTGCCATGGACTAAGAGATGGCATTATGGGGGGAGAGCCCTAAAACAGACAAGTGATACAACTGAAATCCAGAGCCCAGGTTTTCTCTGGAAGCTTTTACCTTTATAACCATCTCAAAGGTAAATACGCCTGTGAAAACATAGTCGAAATATCTCAGGACCTGTAAGACACACATGAACAAGACAGAGAGGACCATGTAAAGTCACCAAGCTCTAGGCACACCTTCCCACTGACCTATGCCATTCTGCATGACAACTCTGTCGTTTATAAATCCCCACCCTAGAACACAGTGAGGGATTTTTCATACCACCTCTAGCAGGGCTGAGAAGTGGACATAAGGAATAAGGGATTAGCGAATGGGCTTGAGCCACATGCTCCAGAGGCTACTATTCCTTCTCTTTGGCCATAACATAACTTCTTGGGTCTGAATTGCCCCCATACAACTCTCTCTCAGTCTCTTGGTGGTGCCCAGGAGATAACTCAATTGCCCGTAATGGAGCTGAAGTCCCCCTGCATCCACACACATCACCTATGGCTCGATGTTAGATCCTGCATCCAGGCCCTCCAATAGCAGCAGAGCCCCTCTCAGAGGCCTGGCTAGCTCTGAGTATCAAGCTTAAAATCAGTGGTATGGCTGTGGAGGTGGGGGCTACTCTGGAAAGGACTTGTACTTATCTTTGAGGAATAGGCACAATTTCTCCATCCTCCTCATCCCCCCAAACCTTTCTGCTACCTTATCTTGATTCACCTCTGCTGCTGGAGGGAGGGGCCTGGGGATGGAGTAGACCCCAGGGCATCAAGAAAGTTCACAAACTGCCCTTGTACACCCACTTTGTTGCGCTCCGAGTTGGTCAGAACAGGGTCCTCGGCTGCCAGGGCAATGCTGCTGGCCGCAATCACCAGGAGGATGCACATCTCAAAGTAGCGTAGGTTCACAATGTAGTGGCAGGCCCTGCGGATCCTGTGGGTGAGAGAATCCTGCTGAGCTTACCCTATTGATCTTGCCCTGCATCGTTCCCACGTCTGCCCCTCTTACTTCCCGTAAGCCTACATTGGCCTCCTCCAGATAGCCAGGCCCTTGCCAAAGGAAGTCACCAGGGAGAGCAATTGAATTCCTCAAGCACCACCCCTTGATTTCAGTCCCCAGTGGAGAATGATAATCAGATTGGTTAGAGGCTCTGTCACGCAAGCCAAGACCATTATCTGCACACATGAGCGAGCCTTGAGGAACAGACACGTGAGACTACACAACCTCCAGTGGCATGTGGTACCCTCTGTTGCATCTCAGTGTCTTCTCCCTTGAGCAAGGAAACTAGAACCTGCCTAGGAAAGTTAAAAGAACCAAGAGACACAAAACCAGATCTTGATTCTAAATCCCCTGATAAGGAGCACCATGTTTCCATGGCTTCCTGGCTATTCTGATGGAAATCCCTGTATTCTATGCTACAGCTCTGGATGACCTGGCAACTGACTCCAACTTCCTCCCACCCCACAGTGTCCCATGAAGCCACTGAAGGTCTCCTTGTCTTCCTTCCTCAGAAGCTGATCCATATTCCGGTTCCAGGACATAAGGCACAGTCTCTTTCCTAATCCGTTGTTTCTCGAATCTAACATTTCTAGACTCTTCTCTGATATTCCTTCTTCATGCTTCTACCTCCACTCTGGGAAAAGAAGCTCTTTTCAAAACTCCATATGCAGAACAGTGGTACAAAAACCCTAGACTCCAGGAGATGTCTGACCACTTCCAGAATGTATGGTGACATCCTCGAGGAGATTTCCTTCATTCTCCCTATCCTAACTACTACTGATCAAAGAGTAGGTGAAGAGTCCCTTCCCATGACATTTCTCCTGTATTCTGCCTTCAGTTACCCTGGAGACTGTGGGCACAGAGATGAGAGGCCGTTCAACTAAATGTCCCACCTTACTTATTGGGCCCCAAATATTTCCATATCTAGCTATCCTCTGCCAGGAGGGTTCAGGAAGATGATAGGGCTCCACTATCCCATGCTGGCTCAAATACTGCCTGGCTGTCCTAGTACCAAAGTTGGGCACGACAGGAGCATGGCTCACGGGTTAGTGGTGCTGAAGATGAACATAGAACTATGGGGCACCATGGCTTTGCCAGTCTCTCGCTTCTCCTTCTTCTGCTTCTTCTTCTCCACCTCTTCCTCCTCCTCTTTGGTCTCTGCCTCCTTCAAGGGACTGGCTTCTCCATCGGTCTTGTTGCTAACTGCAAGCAGAAGGGTTTAAATCTTCAGAAAGCTGCTGACACTTATGGTTTCTAGTCTGAGCTGGGAACAGCACAGAAGGGCTAGGAAAGGATGCCAAGGATGACCCTGAGAAGGTACCCTGACAGGATCAGGGGTTCTTCCCCACACTACATCAAGTCCTTCTCCTCCTCTAATCCCTACCCTTCCCCACACATTATGTACTACAGCCTTTTGTGCCGTAGAAATGATAACCATGTTTTCCCTTTGATGGCTGAACTTTTATAGCCGAGGAAACAGCGTGGCTATTGTAGCTACAAAACTTGCATAATTCAGAAGCTAATATCTAAGCTCCATATTCGTTTGAGCTCACCCAACCGAATTTTCATATCAATGATCCTTAAGTGGCATATATGACTATTCCCATTATACAGATGGGAAAACTGAAGTTCAGAGAGTCTACATATCTTTCTTAAAGTCATACAGCTAATTTGAAATCCTATGCACCTCTGTGAAATCTCTGCAGTGGAAGATTTCAAGAAGTCATTACTCTCTGCCCCGCCTTTCTGGCTGTGCCTTCCCCCACATGATGGATATAGAACTGAGAATGTAATATTCATGGGAATATAGGCCCATGATTGTGTTCCAGGACTTGCGGGGGAGCAGATGAAGCAGCCAGGGGTCACAAAGCCCTGTCAGGTGGCTATTTTCTGTTTCTATGCTCAATTCAAGGGACAGAAGGCCGTCAGAGTGGAGAGAGGCTTGGGAAACCCCTCACCCCCACCCCCACTGCTCTATGACCAAGGAGTGGCATTACCCTGAGACTCAGGCTAAGGAGCAAGCCTCTGTGGTCCTGGCCCATGGTGGGGCCTTCTGACAGCCAAGCGATAGGGCAAACTCAAAAGCCTCTCTCACACACTGTACCCGTGACCAAGGCCACACACTAGCCCTGGCAGGGGAACAGAGGGATGGTCAAGCTACCATGCTTCTCATAAAAGAGGCCCGAAAGCACTTCTTATTTAGTAAGAGTCTAAAGTCAGGCAGACATTAAAAAGGGCTGTGGCGCTGGAAACCTGAAACATGCCCACGTCGACCCCAGCAAGCGCTAGGTGTGCCAGAGATGCTTTTGAAAGCGGATCTGGCATTTCTGAGGGTAGAGAGTCTGAAGGAAGAGTAGAAGTGAAGGGGAGATAGCGAGGTAGACAAGGAGACTGCCACGTGAAAGAAGAATATGGAGAAAGAAGGGAAACATGCACGGGCGTGCGCGTGGATGGAGCCCCGTGGCCATGATGTGTGGCCACAGGTCAGCAGTGGGATGAATACAGGGATGGGGGGTAGGGATTAATACAGGTGTAAGATGTGTCTTAATGTAAGGAGAGAGTAGTGGACACACATCATAGGGTGTAGGATTCATGAAGGGATGGCATACAGGGGCAGGAATAAAGTGAGTGCATGGTTAATACAGGGAGGAGGTGCCGGGTTCGGGTCACAACATGGAATGGGAGTAAAGCAGGCAAGGGATTCAGGGATAGAGCAGAGAGGAGACACAAGGAAAGGATTGGGGTAGGACCATGCAGGCACAGGGATTAGTGCAGACACGGAATATGCAGTCTGGGCAAGGACAGGGATAACGTGAATGCAGAAGGTGTGGTTCAGGGAAAATGGAGTACAGAGCCAAGTAGCAGAGTAGGTTATGTGCTTTCCCCTGGGGTTTGCGTTAATGTTTCATGGGTTAGCATCTGCTTGAAGGAATTTTGGTAGGGAAGTGTGACTGAGAGATCCTAGGAGAGAGGAAATTGATAAGAATGACAGAGTCATGACATGTTAGTGCAGGGATGATCTCTAGGGATCTAGCTCGGGCCTCTCACATTATGTGTGACACAGAAGCCTCCAGAGATGCAGCGATTTTTCTGAGACCACTGACTGAGCAGAGCAGGGACCAGGGCTAGAAGCATCCTGCTAGTCCACCCCAGGGGTTCTCCCAGGAGACCTAGGAGGTCACAAGGATACCAGCGGGTTACATCAGGATGTAACTGGTCTCAGAGTCACCTGTGACTGCTCTGAAGAGTCACCTGGCCAAGTGCTACAGGACAAAATGAAAGTTGAGGAAAACCAACTCGGCAGGAGATCCCTGCCTCAAGACGGTGAAAACTATTTTAGTTCTGCTCGGGTGGCTCTCTATAGAGCTTTATCAGAGGGAGCCCAGAGCCAGCTGTCCCTAGCTCTGGCTGGAGTTGAGGGCGAGTGTGACAGACAGGGACTGCTCTCACTGTGCACTACTGTTGAATCCACCAAGGGGTCAACGTCAGGGATGGCGACGGCGACGCTGGTGCTCTCGGTGGTACCCTTGTCCATGTTGGTGGTCATGCAGGAGAGGTCGGGCTCGCTCTGGCTGATGCCGCGGCCCACATCCAGCTGTACATCCCCCAGCAGGGCTTGCTCGCTGGTGCCTTCAGCCTCCTGCTCTGTCAGAGCGGCATCCTTTCCCACTTCCAACTCAGGCTGGGGCTGGACCAGAGGGGTTTCTGCCTCATCCAGAGCTCCTACCAGTCCAGATCCCCTGGGTACCATCAGACTGTTGGTCCTGAGGGAAAAACGAACAGGAGATGGCTACGATTCAGAAGCTGTTCTAGAATGGCTGGTGCATCTGGCTAAAAGGAAAGGGGGTGGAGCCAGAGCAGGCCTGCTGGAGAGCACACAGCATGTGTTATCTTCCATCCCCATCCAGGCACAGAGGGCCAAACACTCCTGGGCCATGCCGACTGACTCATTCCTACCCATGCAGGCCCCACTCTCCTCAGAGATGCTCTGGAAGAGAACATCATTTCCATACAGATAGATTGCCTGTTAAATTAAGTCACGCCTTTTAGATGGTGTTTTAGCATCCTCTCCATCTTATAAAAGGGGAAACTGAGGCCCATAAAGGTTTCTATCACAGAATTCATCACATCAACCTGAGCTGTAGCCCTCCAGTGCCCTCTTGGGACTCATTTACCTCCTTAAGTCCTGGGTTCTCTCCTCTTCATGGATGGTTGGCTCTTTACTCCTGTGGCTGCCCTGAGGCTCATGTTCTTTCTCCCCCTCAACGGACACGCCTTCATCCAGACTCCGCTCCTGGCTGGCGGACCTGCTCCGGGACACGGAGGCAGACTCCTTGCCCTCAGTCCTGACGCGGCGATGGCGGCTGCGCCTCTGGCTCTGCCTATGCCTGGCCCGGTCCTCAAACGTCACCACCGTCTCTCCTCCCCCAGACTCCTGCTGGGTTGGGTCACAGTTTCCATGACAGGATCTGGGCAGCCACGGTGGCTCCCGCTTGCCCAAGGACAAGGGACTCCTCTGGTTGTCCAGGACACTGGTCAGGCCCCCTACATCGCCCTTGAGGGAACCCCCGCGGCTAATGCGCTCCTCTTCGCACTTCTCAAGACCCAGGCCCAGGGCTAGGCCCTCTATGGGCCTGGGCCTCCGATAGAGGCTGGGGTGAGCGTTGAGCGGGTTGAGAGGGCTCAGTGGATTGAGTGGGTTGAGGGGGTTCATCGGCGGGGCCTCCTCTTTGTTGAGGGCTTCCTGGCTCGACATTTGCATGTGCCTCCTCAGCTGGCTGGTGCGTTGTTCCCACACAGACATGTGGTGCCGGCGCCTCCGCTCCCTCCTGACAAAGGAGAAAGGGGCGAGAGAGAGCTACCGTCAGGTTCTGACAGCACATGCCGGGATTATTAGAGACGGTGGCCTACGGGAGCCATGAATAGGGATCATGGGGTGGTGGAGCTAAATGGGGGAGGCCAGGGTCCCCAGACAAGAAGCACAGAGATGCAAGGAGCAGAGTGGCCACACATGAGAAAGTTGTCAGACCAGTGCCTCCAAGTCCAGTCATCATAGGGTACTTTTCACTCCAATCCCTGCTTCTGTGATGCAGTAGTAAAGGACGGACTCGCTCAAGACTGAGCCCAATGTCCCCAAGACCAGTGAGAGAGGCAGTACAAAGACTCACCCGGCCTTCCCTCCCCAGTACTCCTTTGATGGAGGCTATCAACTGGGGTCTCTTATGTACCCGCCAATGGCCCTTCATTCAAGGTCAGAGAGGCTCTTCCTCTCCCCATCCCTCTCAGATTTTAGCCTGGAATAGCACGGGCTGAGATGCACCATGTTCAGATACCAACAAGGATAACGACAGTGGCAGCCTCCCCTGAAAGCAAGGGGACGGGACCATGGGCTTCTACAAACAACAGCTAATGAAATCCACGAACGACTGTGTTCACAGAGACCACCAGCAGTCCACGCCCAAACTACTGTTGAGCATTTCAGCTCGGAGGCCTAATGAGTAGCAGGAACACACGAACAGGACATGGAGAACACAGGCGTGGGCTCCTCAGCTGGAAGGGCAGACACCTACTCCTTCCCTCACGTGCCTGTGGGCACACACCCCCCCCCCACCAACCCTCAAAAAGCTAATGCACGTGGACCCACACGCGACCTTCACTGAGGCCCACACAGAGAGGTACACAACTGCCTACGTGGAAGGACCCCCACCACCCCCACCACCCCCACTAATTACCAGCGTGAGCACATGCCCACTCTCAGGCCAAACACAAGGAGCAAACAGCACACGGTCACGGTCACATACTTTAGACACACTGATAGAGAGGAGCGCACGCCGAGAGAGGCGCCGAGGGGCGCGTCCACCGCTGTGCACGGAACACACACACACATACACGCCCCACACACCAAAGCGCACGCTGACGTCTACACTCGGCGTCACATCGTCCCCATGCCCACACGGAACCACTCCCAAACACGCAGACCGGTACACACATACAGGTGGCTGCTGCGCGGCTCCCACATCGACATGTGGTGTCTTCTCCTTCTGTCTCTTCTGGGGAAGAAAAACGGACAGGTTCAGTCCACCCCCCACCTCTAGACCCTGCAAGCCCCACAGCCGCCGGCAGACGGTCCCCGAGGGAAGCCCGAGTCCTGGGCCTTTCCACAGGGCTCCCGTGCATCCGTTTGCCCTCTGCGGACTCCCCCACCTACAAGTGCTCCCACAGCAACTTCTGAGTCCTCGGTGTGTGCCAGTTCCACAGATCCTGTTTCTGAAGCAGGCATGCAGAGTCCCAGAGGACAGACGATTTCATGGAGGATATAGCTTCTAATGCTTTCAACACCAGGCCCTGACGAGCTCACACGGCCACCGTCCCGAGTGCTATTTTGATGAGCATTTGGTCCCTGTCCCCAGTCATTTCAAGGGTAACAAAAGCACATTGACCCAGGTAGGACCCCTTCCGGCTCATCACTCCCACAGCAGGTCAGGGTTCAATTTCATGGAACACGGAGGAAACAAATACTCTGTCATGCACACCAGTGAGGCTAATCGAGCAGCCCAAGGCTAAGGACAGGGCTACACCTCAGAGGCCATAGAATGTGAGTGGTGCCCTCAATGAGAAAGGAGCCTTGAAGGTTTGCTCTGTTCTACTGGGTAAAACACAGAATTGACCTCGGGCTGGTTTTAAGAAATACTACTCCTTACATCCATGTTGTATCCTTTCAAACACAAGCTTGAGGGACGACGATCGGAGTGAGGGGCTAGATGGAAGCTGCCAACGTAGGAACTAGTATGTGAGCACAGGGCCGAGGCTAGGGTAGAGGGCAACTCGTCTGAGAGAGTCCCAGAGTAAGCCCTTGAGCCGGGGAACCCCGTTCCAGCCCAGTGAGCCCCGCTGGGTCTGGGAAGCAGGGAAATGGTTGTCCTTGACTGAGAAGACTCTGATGAATGCAGAACATGCCGGGCAAATGAACTCTGCTCTGCCACATGTCATGCACTTGGAAAGGAGCCTCATTCAAGGGCAGGGCTGAGGAAGCAGAGATAGCCCATCTAAGCCTCTTTGGGGGCATCTGGAAGAAGCACAAATATACTTGTGTGCACACAAGCACTCATTAATGTAGACATCGTTGCAGAAATGTTGTGAACTCCTCAACGAAATACATATCCCTCAGCATCGGCAGCCTGTACTATAGCAGGGCACAGGTGGGGCAAGCAGCATGGGTAGCATATAGAAATAGAAGCATACTCTAGACAGGCAACGTGCACACCCACTGGGAGAAGCATATCATATCATCTACTTGAAAATTCTCAAGTATTCAAATACCAGCCCTCTAGGAGCATGCGTAAGTAAGAATAGGGGAGGATTC